TAGAACAGCCAAACACAGGTTACACCCCGAGCTTTAGGCACTTCATCTTTCTCCTGGAGAGAGGTGTAAGAGAAAGAGTTGCTCTTCCATGCTCCTTTGGGAGTCAGTACTGGGGAGCTGTGTGTGTGGGTGGGGTGTACAGTTAACGGTGTGCTGCAGCAGTGTGACTCCATACTTGCTCATCTGTAGTCCGGGTGAGGTCAGTGGTTGAGTCACTTCAGTGGAAATGCACAGCACGGAAGACTCTTGGGGAGTGAGGGAGTGGAGGGGCAGGCCTCACACACGGGCTTTCTAACGGAGACCTGCGCCCAGCGCATCACAGCGCCCAGGAACGATGCTGGTACGAATCTTTAGGCAAATGAGCCTGCTCTAGGGCTGAGAGTATTTTTGAAGTTACCGTTTCTGCTTCCTCCTCTCTGCAAGGCTGGCTTTTCTTTTACCTCCAGAGAGGCGGCTGCTTCCTACTTCAGGTTTTTACACATCCGCGTCTGAAGATGGCGTCTGGGGCGTCTCGGATATTCACGAGGGCGCCCCCAGAGCCGAGACAGTGGAACCTTTGTTTCCTGTCCCTCTGGGGCTGTCGGATTTGAAGCGTTCGTTGGTGCCGTCGAGAGGGTTGTGTGACGAGAGCAGGCGCGATGCGGGGAGGAGAGTGAGGCTCCTGCCCCAGCTTGTCCCGGCAGGCCGCTTGCATCACATGGTCCCAGATCCCAGCCACGTCACCCCCCTGCTAATACCTTGTGGAATGGGAGTGTCCTGAGTGCATCTTAAGCCTTAGCAGTAGTGTTACAATCTGGGGGTTGGGGGGGTGGGGTCAGTAGAGGTTTATTTTCTGTCCTTTCTCAGAGACTTCAATGCTCCTTCCCTGGGAGGTGTCAAGAGGGCAGCTGACCTCTGACCCCCTCAGTAAGGGCATTACTAATCGAGAGAGGAATGGTTCAGCATTATCTTCTAATTGCTAGTGCTTGATGGTAAAGAGAGAGCCCCATTTTTGCTGTGGGGAAACTTTTCTTCTAATTAATTTGCTATGCATCTGTGGGGCATTTACGGTTCTCCCGCAAGTGAAAACAAGGTCCTCTGTTTTTCCCGCAGGGAGATAAGAGGACAGCCACGGATATTCAGCACACCTATTTTGCCAGTGGGCTGTAGATAGGCCATATCAGTAGTAGTGGTTGTAGATAATAGTACCACTCGGCTCCAAAGCGCTTTGCGGGTACCACCACCGGTGCACAGCTTCACCTGAATGAAGAGTCGGCAGCCATAGTGCAGCAGTACGCCCCCCCGCACACCAGCACTCATAAAACCAAGGTCCTGACTCTCTGTAGTCAATAAAAATCCCAGGGCTTTTGTCGAAAAGAGTAGGGGTGTAACCCCGGCGTCCTGGCCAAATTTCCCATTGGCCCTTACCACTCATGGCCTCCTAATAATTCCCATCTCTGAACTGGCTTCATCACTCTGCTCTCCTCCCCACTGAGAGCTGGAGTGTGGCGAGTGTACTGGAGCATCATCCAGGTGGGGCTGCACACTGGTGGTGGTGGAGGGGGATCCCCATGACCTGTAAAGCCCTTTGAATGGAGTGTCCAGTAAAGCACTATGTAAGTGTAAGCAATTATTATTAGTATTATTATTAGTAGTAGTATTATTATTATTAAAATTGAATAAAGAACTGGGAATAAAAAAGAAAAACTGTCTGCACTGTATACACGGAGAACCTTTTAAATTATACCTTCCTTTCTGGCTTTTACTTGGCTTTTTCCTTTTACACTGCTGATGACCTGGTATCTCAACACCTACCTGTTGAGTAACCTGAATGTGCATTGAAGCTCCCTGCACTCATTCCAGAAACCCATCCTTGAATCAGCAGAGAATCTGCTGCCTTGGCTGGCTTGCAAGTTTGGAGGGGACTGATTTGGGTTCTGGGGTACTGTAGGTCATCTCCACCCTGAACACTGAGCCTTCATTAGGCGAGCACCCCGTGAGCCCTCCTCCTGTACCAGCACTGTATCAAATTGATCCTCCCTGTCTCCCGGGAACAATACAGGGCCTGTTTGGGATGTACTGTGGTAGCTTCCTTTCTAGAAGGCTTCTGTTACTGCTGTTGTCAGAACAGTGATCCCCATTCAGACCTGTTGGAGCCCCTATGCCCTGTAGCTCACAGTGGCATTAGCCAGTGGGAGATTGGACTGGGAGCGCTCCCGGGCTTTGGTTCTGGCTATTAATCACACTGGGGTGGTCGTTGCACCACATGTTGTAGAAAGCAGATTGAACTTTGGTCTCTTAAATTTTTAATCTGAATGCTCAGGAAGTTACTTGTCTCTCAGACCCTAGAGCAGTATGACCCCAGACATCCTTTGACACTGTGGTCCCATATGAAAGTGAATTATGGTAGTCAACAAAGTGAATTTTTCTTTCCAGGTTATTCTTATCATTGCCTGTTCCTGGAATGCCTTTAGGCCTGTTACATGTAGTGTGTTAAAAGAGGGCGTGCTGTGCATTTGCTACATAATATGCATAATTCGTTCCACCATTTCAGCACATTTGAATATATATTATGCATTCTTTTTTTATCAGGCATTTGGGAATGCGAAGACAGCCCATAACAACAACTCCAGCCGCTTCGGAAAGTTCATCCAAGTCAACTACTTGGAAAGTGGAGTCGTGAGAGGGTGAGTAATTTCTCCGAAGCATTATGTGAAGAAATGCTGTGTGTACTCCCCGTCTTCACACCCACTGCCCTCCCAGCAGAGTGCTTGAAGAGTTACTGTTTCTTCATCAGCGGTGTGGTTTGAGCCCCGCGTTTGTAACAAACTGCTGAGCAGCCAGGCCACACAGTCTTGCTGGTGGAAACACTCCGGGGAGGGAAAGTTCACTGGGGTATATTCTGAGATTTTAAGTTTTTTTCCCCAGTCTGCATCGCAACTTTTAAAAAGAAGGAACAGACTTCGTGATATTTTGCTCCCCTCTTCCTCCTCCAGCAGTTTACGTGGCAACAACATGAGACAGAAATCTTTCAAGCATGTTACTTCCTCCTTGTACAGGAAGTGGCAAATTTAAGAGGAAGTTTGTCGTAATGAGAAATAAATAGAAAGTACATGCCTGTGACTGCTGCTTCATAAAGTCTGAGAAACACCCAGGAGCGCTGCTTGCACTCTATTTTAAGGAACTTTAATTTTCTTGTCATTTGGATTTGTATAATTCGTTAGGAATGCTTTAGAAGCTCTGCAGCTGCATGCACCAAAAGCATTCCTCATCCTTGTTTACTGTTTAATATTAAATTTTATAGTCTGGGATCGACCTTGTAACAAGACCAAACAGTGCTGTTATTAAAGGGGCTTAGACTTGTGCAAAAAACATATGCTAAGTGCAGGATTAACCCAGCATGTTTCACCACTCTTGAGCCACTTTTAAACGGTTAATTACAGCTGATGTGTGCATCTGAGAGGTCACCGGGGCAAAAAACGTGGGCTTGTTCTCCCGGCAGTGCGAGCGAAGCCTAATCGGTTATCTCGCGAACCAAACTGCAAGAGGAAAATCCCCAGTCTTCCTGCAAGAGGAGCTGTTGATAGGGTTTATTTTTCCTGGCTGCTTCAGTGTAACCTGCCCCATGGGAAAAGCCCCACTACTGGATCCACGTTTCTCTTCTGCTCTTCTCAGAGCTTTATCCCTGTAGGGGTTATCGTTGCAGATAGGCTGGTTCGTGTTGCACAACAATGCGAGCTCTTTTCTGTCTAAAGGGTCTGTTTTTCCTGCTTAAACTCGCGAGCTGCAATTCGGCAGATCTGGACTTGTTTTGTTTTTGGTGGCATGGTGGGGGGTTGGTGTCAAATCTCATAGTTCTTCAAACCACAGCTCTTGCACGCCACACGACTGGAAGGTTTTTGACTCTAAGCCTCTTTAGGTAACTTGCAGAGTTTAATCTGAGCAGATTTGACTTTTTCCCCCTTACAGCACCTAAAGGATAACTCTTAGATCATTTCTGCTCGCTGTCGGATCACCCATGCCTGGTGGTTTTTTCCTGCAAAGGAATGTCAGGTTATGCATTATGGATTGGGCGTGCTGAGAGGAGCGTGTTGCATTTTAGGCGTTACCTCTGTGTCGCTTGCTGCTGTGTTCTCAGTGCATACATTTGGTAAATGTAACCTTGTGATCAGGAGCAGCAGGCCACATGGCTCTTGCACACTAAAGTTACATCCTAGAGGAGGCTCTCTGGATGATGATGTTTCTATTCATTCCCCAAGGTGTCTAGAAGATGAAAGACGCTCAAGTCCTTTTTCATAAACAGTTTCATGCTCAGTGCATCATCCTATACTTTGTTTTTTTACTACCTGCATGTAATGCTCTGTCACATCTATATCCTTAACATACACAACCTACAAAGTTGCATATTGTCAAAGTATAATGCTGTTATGTCATCTGGGTTGTTTTTTTCTGCTGGTGCTGAACTTAGAACATCTGCTCTGGACTAATTGGATGCACTGGTCCAAGCCCTGTTACTGTTGAACTTCATTCTTGTAGGCAGCAGAGGAAATGCTTTCTTATGGTGGTGGTGATGATCCCATCCATTCATTCTTGATCCTGATGGGTGGGAGGAGTTGTATGTGGGTGTGTACAGCTATTAATGCAGGAACAGCCAAAAAAAGTTACTATTGACGAATGGACAGTGTGTGGACAACTACTTTTACTTTTTTTGAAGAACCAAATGGCTTTTAAATCTAAAGGTGCTAAAACTTTCACCCTACATGGAGTATCACTTTGATGGAGTGTTAGTGGGAAGCCCCCCACGAATGTAGGAATACAAGTGTGTGCGTGGGTCAGGGTTGTCTGCAGAGTGGTGTCCAGATAAGGAGGAGCTGAGCACAAGATAATGCACATTCCTGGAAGTTCCTCTTCATAACAAAGCTAAAAATTGGTGCAAAAAAACCAAGGACATTGTGCTAAGATGGTGTTGACATCTACACAATCAGTACTCAAGTGATTTGTACTTCTGACATCAGAGGTCTGTTTTTGAGCTTTGCCATTAAATATGCTAGAATTCGGATTCCAAAAGATATTTGTGGGGAGGGGGGAGCTTTTGTGTTTTAAAAGCTTTAAAAGAGAACAGCAAATAAAACTCTTAAAAAAAAAAAAAGCACTTGTGTGTGAGATATAATTTCAGACTGGAGATTAGTATCAGTGATACCAACTGCATGTTAAGAAAACTCCTTCCACACATAGGAACATGTTTGCATGTATGCTGTACTGTGCATCATTCTGGTCTGAGAAGGCAGACCGATATGTATAGTTAATTGTTGTGCTTAATCTTGGCTGGCATCTGAATTGGGAAGGACGTTAAGATGAACCCTATTGGCCGATTCAGATGCTACAATAATAGCCGTGCACAGGTGGCATTACTAACGTGTATGCTCTTTTAAATTGGCCATCTTGTAAGGTTTATGTATATGTGAAATGTAACGTGAGCTCAAATATTTTTTGTGTGCTTTGGACTTCCCCTGCTGCTGGATGTGCTGCTCTTCAGAATCCAGGTTGTAGAGGGGCAATGCTCACAGCCATCTTTTGATTGTTTGTCCCTCTTGCTGTTTCAGGGCTGTTGTTGAAAAGTACCTGTTGGAGAAATCTCGGCTGGTTTCTCGGGAAAAAAATGAAAGGTAAGAAGTCTTAACCTCTTCTTAAACCTTTTCAAACCTGTGCGTCATAAGTGGAGGAATTTCAGGTGCCTGTGAATGATGGAGGGCGCTGTGTTTTATCACAGTTTTGTGGCATGTTGTAAGCTGTCTAGTCCAGGAACTAATACACAGTTTGTATCTTCCTGTTTGAGATGAACTTAACTTTTTAACTTTAAAGTGAATGCGTCCCACTAATCAAATTGATTTCAGTGGGGAATGTGTAGGGTGTTTCATACCAGCTTAATCTGAAACTTCAGCATTTTTTCCATGCAAAAGCAAAACGTGTAAATTTAGAAGAAATGCACTGTACTACGCAAGACGAAGGAGGAAATGAGGACTGTCTTCCCTGTCTGAATTAATAAAAATAGTCTGGCATCTTGCTTTTCACTAACTTTTCTGTCAAGTATTTCTTTAGTTGATTTTTGAACGCATTAACGTCTCGGGGGAGAAGTTATATAGAAGATAAAGGGCGAACTGCAACAGTATTTTTTTTTATTTCAGGGTTAGGAGCTATTAGCATTGATGAGTACATTTCAAACCACAATGAAAGTAAAATCTCCTATTTATGATACAAAATAGACAATTTCTAGCTATGTGCAGCACCATACTTTGATTCAGAACGAGGCAATGAAACTTCATGTTGTGAAGCAGCCAAATTATGTTGTAAACCATCAGGTTTGTGAATACATCTCTTTTAAACTAGTAGAAATATTGCTCTCAAATTTGAGATGGTTTTACCAACAATCGCCACTTGTTTATTCTGTGTACAGATCACGTTGGAACATTTCCGTGTTGAAATGTCTGCTGCACAACCTGTACTTAATTTGCACAAACTCTCACTCTTGCCCGTTGTGAGACCAGGGGTTTGCGACAATATGGCAACTACGTGGTACTTTCGTAAATTTCACGATTTTGTGCTTAATTAGAAATTGGTAAAATTTTGCAATACCTTTTATTAGACTGATTTTGACGTGGTAGAGAGCCAAGAATTTAAAATAAGCCTCAGAAGGTAACGCAGATCGCGCTACCTTACCCGTGCAGTTTATTGGGAAGAAGGGGGAAGTCAGCCAGCATGCATTGACAAGACCATTAGTTTCCACCTTCATAACTTGTTACAGTAGCTCCTTACTTTCAACTCTTTATGTATTCATGTAACATGTAATGTCTATGTTAATTGCTTCAAAGATCTACTAAATTTATTTTCCTTTTAACTTCCATTCAGTAACATTTGGCCCCTGCCGGTGTTGTCCTAGTGCATGCAGAACTGTGAGACTGAAAGGGGAAGAAAAACAACGGTGCCATGTGACCAGCATGTCTGCCACAATCTGTGGCTGAGTAAACATTGGGCTGGACTCACAGCACTGCAATATGATTCCCTGTTTCAGTTGTGCTGGGATCTTCTCTTTTCTTTGCAATGAAAACATGGGGCTTGTAACAGAATCCCATGTCCTCAATATTGTGTCATCCGCAGGAACTATCACGTCTTTTACTACCTGCTGTTAGGAGCATCTGAGGAGGAGCGAGAGGAGTTCAAGCTTCTACAGCCCGAAGATTACCTCTACCTCAAGCAGGTACAGAACACGCCTCCCAGGAGCACACCTGACCTCTGGGTGTCCTCCGATTTACAATTCCCATAGACTTAATAAACACACATAGTGCTCGAAATTCTTTTTAATGATCACAGCAGTGTTTCTGATGGCTATCATGTCAGAAAAATTCTAATTAAGTTCTTACATTTTTTATCATTTTCTCCATGAATTACTGTAACCTTTTTTTCTCCTAGAAATGCGAGTACTTCAGTGAGCTTGGCACGTGCTTTTTTGTAAGACACTTGAGATTGTTCTGAGTAACTTTCTCTTCCCCTTCTGTGAATTACTCTCCGCAGCAAAACTTTAAGATAGAAGATGAAGAAGACCTGCAGCATGACTTTGAGAGGCTGCAGCAGGCTATGGAGATGGTGGGCTTTCTGCCTTCCACCAAGAAACAGTAAGTGGGCAGTCTAGGGGGGTTATGGTGCCCCTCGCGCCATAGCACTGCACGTTATCACTGCGGCCATGCTCTGGGTGCAGGCTTGCTGTACTGATGCAACAGAAACCCTACTACTTTAGTTCCACAGCAAATGCATGTCTAAACTACCACATTAGGTCTGTTTTAATGCTCCTCCAATATGTATTTCTTTAAAGATCAGCATTATACCACCTGTACTCTCTGATTGTGACAGAATGCCCTGACAGACCACTGTGATGTTTCACACCTGGAGAATCTCCCCACTTTTTTTTTTTACCTTTACACGTTGCCTTGTTTTAGTTTCAATGTTTCCATGTTTTACTTGCCATTTAGGTGCATGCATATTTCTTCTTTTGTTCCCATGAAAGTGTCTTAACTTGCATTGTTTTTCCGTATCGGAATTTAGTAAGTGCAGTGCCACCAGGAGGTGAAAAAATAAAATTCTTGATTGAGAATTCGTCTGTGCGTGGGGTGCGTGTTCATGTTGGTAGCTGCTCTCCGTTAAACGTTGTTTCATACTAGTCTGAACTTGCCAGGCCTTAAAATAAACTGAGCAGGAAGAAGTGACAGGAATTTCAGCAAACCGATTGCTTAAGGCCTTGAAACTATTATGGAAGGTTGTATATTAAATACTTCATTTGCATTGTGGTTTCATTATCAACAAGTCATGCTGAAAAATGTGGAACTTGTACTCTGAGTTAATTTCTTTTTTGTTTGTTTGATGGCCTTTAGAATTTTCTCGGTGCTGTCTGCTATCCTCTACTTGGGCAACGTGACCTACAGGAGGAAGTCCACAGGCAGAGATGAGGGGCTAGATGTTGGGCCACCTGAAGTCCTCAGCACACTGTCTGAATTGCTCAAGGTATCATGGGAACTTCTGGGCCGAGTTTCTAGGAGGGGGTCGTGCCACGCTCTCCACCGCTGCTAGGTGTGCACCCATCTAGATACCACTGTTCTAAAAACTGAGGTTCTCTGGAGGACAAAAAAACGTGATCCAAGTAAATTGAGCTGCTGCCCCAGCATCCTCGGTCCTGCAATATTATGTGATGGCAGATGCCATTCAGAGTGATTTTAGACATAGATTGACAACAGGGAAATGGGAAGCAGAAACTCCTATGACATTAAACCCAAATCTCCTGTTGACCGTTTGGTCTTGGCACTTCCAGCCAAAAAGCAAGCAAGAGGAGAGTGTTTGGCGAACCAGTCGGAGTCCAGGGTCCTCACCAGCGGCAGGACTTCTCCAAAACGTCAGGGTAACGACAGCAGCTCCACAACTGTTGTTCCCAGAGAAAGGAGTGCAGGGGGGTGATGGGAACGTTGGCAGGGTAAACATGTGCACTCTCATGAGTTTTTGGTCTTGCAGGTTAAAGAAGAGTTGCTGGTGGAGGCCTTGACCAAACGGAAGACGGTGACAGCCAACGACAAACTCATCCTGCCCTATAGCCACTCCGAGGTCAGGATCTGAGATCTTTTTTCCTTTTAGTTTGGAATTGGTTGGGTCCCTGAGAGAACTGGGTTGCCGATCCTGGCCGAACAGTACCAAAATGGCTTAGGGATAGAAGAAGGGGGGGTAGTCTTTGGTAGTTTTGCTTCTTTTTTTTTTGTCAAACAGCAAGTCTTGACTTAAGTCTTCTCACTGACTCATGGGTTGCAGCAGAATGCTGAGTCAGTTGACAGGACACTGTCCTTCAGCAAAGTAGAGCGCGTTTGCCATTTTCTTTACTCCTGAACTTGAACTTCACTGCAGGTTGGGTCTCTAACCTTACCTAATAATCTTAAGCTTCCCATGGCTACACATCAGCGCTTCTCTTTGATAGAATTCCACTGCACATTAAAACCAAAAGTTACTCGTAGTTCTTATGTGTGAATGTGTAAGCTTGTATGCTCTCAGTGTTGAGTTGGTATAGTATTTGTATTTTAACCGTGTTACCTGTAAACTTGCACCTTGATTTATCTGTGCTCCACTGGTACCCTGTGAAAGCTGTTTTTCTTACACTGCTGTCCCAGGCTATCACAGCCCGAGACTCCATGGCAAAGTCGCTGTACAGTGCCCTGTTTGACTGGATCGTCCTGCGGATCAATCACGCTCTGCTGAACAAGAAAGACATGGAGGAATCGGTTACTGTAAGAGCCCGTGTTTATCCTCACTCTTTGGTGTAGTGTCCCTGTCTCAATCTATGGAGCTCAAAGGCTTCCACCCGACTTCTTTGAATAAAGTACTCAAGAGGTTATGCACACCATGTTAATAACCTTTTAATTCTTTTATCCTAGTGTTTGTCCATAGGTGTCTTGGATATCTTTGGCTTTGAAGATTTTGAAAACAACAGCTTTGAGCAGTTTTGCATTAACTATGCCAACGAGCAGCTTCAGTATTACTTCAACCAGCACATCTTCAAACTGGAGCAGGTGAGGACCATCTGCTACCCAGCCCTCGATCAGCAGTCTGCTTTCATTGAGCCCAGGATCCTGGTGTGGATGATGGCAAAAGACCGCTAGTGTGACTGTATCACCTGCTGCACAGGAAGTGAATGAAGGCTGTGACAAGAGGCTCATTGACCAAATGTATCCAATATGGTCTCCAACCATTGTCTAGCTGTTGTTGCTTTTATCCTACCGTTTGTCTATAAGATGAACTCTGATCGTCTCTGGTCCACTCGGAAGCTTTAACTTAGTGCTGTCCTCTTCCATTGCTTGAAAGCAAACACGAATGCATTCAGTCCGTCTCAGGAAGATGTCCATCAACCTTATGCTCTAAGCAGATCTTGTTCACTTCCTTTTTATGTGTATGAGATGATACAGGCTTATTGGCATCAGATCGTAGCCTAGAAATGTTTTTAAGATTCCCCCTATGGCAATGTAAAAAAAAAATAGCCATTGTCAGAAAATAGTCTATTGCAACTGAGGGTCAGATGGTTCTGCTTGCAGGAGGAGTACAAGGCTGAGGGCATCAGCTGGCACAACATTGAGTACACAGACAATGTGGGCTGCATCCATCTGATCAGCAAGAAGCCCACAGGATTGTTCTACCTGCTGGACGAGGAGAGCAAGTAAGAGCAATATATCCAGCATCTCAGATGATGTACACCTTAATTTGTTTTCCCCAGTTTGTTAGTTCCAATTTTAATTAGGTGCTTTCCATCTACGCCATCCTTCTTCCTTTGTTTACTTCAGGCTCGCTAAGGGAAGACATTAATTGGCCTTAATTAAAAACCAAGAACTGAGTTAGGAGATCCAGAACAGGAAGGCTTGGTGGCAACCTGTGGCTTAAAACAAGTGCAGCGTCAGATCACATGAGCCGATTGTATTGTGTATAAAATTATTAATCTGGAGAATTATGCCGAGTTTTATTTTAGCGTGCGTCTCCTGTGGGAGCTTCCAAACCTGGTAAATGGTTTTCTGTTTGACCACAAGCTGCTCCTACAGAGGTCGGGCACTGGTGTTTTTTTTTTTTTTAAGGATTCTCATTTCGTGAACTGATGTCGCTCTCCTTTCTTCACTTCGCCGGCAGCTTTCCACGTGCCACTGACAAAACCCTCCTGGCGAAATTCAAGCAACAGCACCAGAGCAACGGTTTCTTTGTGCCGACCCCCGTGATGGAGCCCGCCTTCGTCATCCGGCACTTCGCCGGGACGGTCAAGTACCAGATCAAGGTAGGGCTCGGCTAGCTGCGTTTGACCTAGAAGGACATTCGGGGCCCCCTGGCCACTCTGATTGTGCAGCTGTAGGTTTGTACACTCAGAGAGAAGGACCCTGGTGTCCTCAATGAGCATGGAGCCACGGGGAAGTGTCCCCTTTCAGCCTTCAAATCTCGAGTTTGTTCCACAGGACTTCCGGGAGAAGAACACGGACTACATGCGGCCGGATATCGTGGCGCTGCTGAGGAGCAGTGACCGGGCATACGTGCGCGAGCTCATTGGGATGTGCCCGGTGGCCATGTTCCGCTGGGGCATCTTGAGGGCCACCATCCGCAGCATTGCTGCCTTCTGCGAGGCGGGCCGGCGCTGGGCAGCCAAGACAGCAGGTAGGCCCAGGCTGCCTTCCTGGAGCTGGGCTAGACTGCAGTCCAGGAGCTGGCTGGACATCGTGCTTTTGTTTGCCTCAATCACTGGCTGTTTTAGGCATCTAACCATTCCTTTGTAGCTGTAAAAATATATCCTTACACTTTTATATAGTGCTTTTCTGGACCCTGAACTACAGCAGGACCAGCCCAGTCTCACAGCTGTTGTTGCAAGTAATAACAATTCATAATCATTGCTTACATTTTTCTGGACACTCCACTCAAAGCGCTTTACAGATAATGGGGACTCCCCTCCACCACCAGTGTGCAGCCCCACCTGGATGATGCTCCAGTCCGCTCCCCACACCAGCTCTCAGTGGGGAGGAGAGCAGAGTGATGAAGCCAGTTCAGAGATGGGGATTATTAGGAGGCTATGAGTGGTAAAGGCCAGGGGGAAATTTGGGTTATACCCCTATTCTTTTTGAGAAACGACCTGGGATTTTTAACAACCACTGAGAGTCAGGACGTGGGTTTTATGTCTCATCTGAAGCATGGTGCCTTTTTTACAGTATAGTGTCACCGTCACTATACTGGGGCAATAGGACCCACACAGACCGCAGGGTGAGCTCCCCCTGCTGGCCCCACTAACACCTCTTCCAGCAGCCGAGGAGCTTCGGTGGGCTGCCAGTGGTGAGTGATGCATCTGCTGGCTATGTCACCAAATAGCCAGGTACCATAGAAAACAAACACAAGACACTAGTAGCTGCATCATACTGGCTTACCCCTAGAATTCAGGCCCATGTTTCGTGTTGCACAGCCCTGTAACTTTGTGATTGCAATCTAAGCAATCTCTGCTTTTGTGGGACCTCTGCAATCCATGAGAAGGATTCACGATCTATAATGAAAACAGACGCCAGTGCGCAAAGAGGTCCTTCAGTCGCCTGCTGCGTTTCTCCAGCGCAGTGTGCTGTCCGCCTTGTTGGCTGTTGCTCTGCGGCTGTTGAACCCCCCTGCCCGCGGCTCTGTGTCCTGCAGGTGTGGTGCGCCGCGGTTCTCGGACGCCGCTCGGGGAGCTGCAGCGGTCGAACACGGCGGTGGAGAAGATGTACCGGTAAGCTTGAGGGATCTGGGGCTGGGAGGGGTGGGCAGCAGGGTGGGGCCGGTGCGTTAGGTGAAGAGAGAGGCTGCAGGAGCTGCTGATGGCACTTGGAGGACACGTGGAAGTGAGGTTTACTCCCCTGTCTTCCTCCTCCTCTGCTGCTGAACCGCTGTGCCCCTCTGCAAGCTGTCGTCAAGCCAGTCGCTATCAGCTTTACGCTTGTATGCCTCTAGGACCATAAAATACAAGTCCCACTCTAAAGGTGATGTTGCAGCATGTGCACAACGTTGGGCTGTTTTCATCCCTTGTTCGTTTCTTGTTTCTAATTATAATTCCCTTTTTAGGATCTACAAGACGTGGAATTTAGGTCCAGAGGCTGCCCTGTTTTTGTTTAAGCTTTCTTAATAATGCCCTGTTTTGTTGGTGAATTTGGGTAACTAGTAACGTAAATTTGTCTAGCCTGTGGTCGGCATCAGAAAGTTTAACGTTACCAGCCAAGCAGTTCTGTGAAACCAGCTAGAACCGAACTGAGCTCCCGTTACCTTTCCAAATCGGCTTTCGAGATCGTTGGCTGATGTGCAGCGCGGTGTGCCCATGTGCCAACCCTCCTGGGCTCTGATGCGGATTGTGACCTTTTTTCCCCTCCACAGCCGTGGCTCTTTGCTTGATTTCTCCTTTGATCATTCTGAGGAGCTCCCTCTAGAGGCTTTTGAAGACATCTTTGCTAGCTATGAGAACAAGAAGTAAGTGGATTGGTGGAGGAACAGGAAGGGACAGAGCTTGGGGCAGGGAGGCCACCTCTGTATCTTCTGGGCATGCTCAATTCATCCACCAGGGTCCCACTTCAGTGAATGGCTGCTGCCTGTCTCTGTGCAGAGCTCGGCTTTGCGGCAGTATGTTTCTTCTTTCTTAGGGGGGCAGGTATTTCATCCCAATGAAGCTCTTGCTCTTTAGATATTGCTCAAACTAAACCTCTCCACAGGAGTTACGGTTCGAGGTGCGAATAACAAGGTTTGCACGGTCACTTGCAAAAAGAGACTGCAGCAGTGCTGCCCAACTGTTGCTTTGCATTAGATTCATCTTCAAAGCTGAATGGAGTTTCTATGCGCTTTAGGGGTTTTATTCCCCGTCAGAAAACACAAATGCTAATGGCGGTGTGTGGTAAACGATCTATCTCAAGTTAGAAATGAGACCTGGACTTATACTTGCAGAGCATTTGTACGGTGCTTTCTGGAGAAGTTCGAGGTTCGACATTGCCATTGTTTATTTTGGACCAGGCATGCATTTAAACCTCCAGTCAATCAGCAGAGTAATTAGCCGGAAAGAACTACAGAAGCACATGAGTGTTGCGTAAAGACTCGACTGTTTCAGTCAACAGGGACCGTGACACCGTGTCTGCTTCGCCTCCACGCTGGGTCTCGGCACGTATAGCAGTAATCGTTTATTTCTCCCAGTTTTATTTTTCTTGCTGCACGGGGCAGGAAAATGGCACAGGCTGCTCAGCTCTGATAATCTGGTGATTACCACAGGAAGCTGGAAAAACAGCTTGAGCTCGTAAGAAGGGTAATAAAAATTCGAATGGGAACCTGAGGATGCCATGGAAAACGAAGCAGGGGTGAGGTGGGGTTGTTCCTGTAGAAATGGGAGGATAGTTTTGAAAGGGCAGTGTTTTTTTTTTAATTTCATTTCCAATTAATGTTTTCAGCAAGTCATTTTAAAAAAATTGTTGCTGCAGAAATGACAGGAAAGATTTGTAGGTGTATTAAACCCCTAGTTTCCGATCTCTCGTGTATGTCTTGAGCATTCCTAAAAGGTATCCGAGTTTCCTTTCATTGTACTTTATTGCCCATGTGTACCCTGTCCTCCACCCCTGTCCCCCCTGTCTGGCCTCCCCCATTTCTGTTAAACCCCTCTGTGGTACGTACAGGAGTGCATGCACAGAGGTGGAGTGGTGTGGAATCCCATCATGTTAACACTGAAATCACAGTGTAATCTAGCATGGGACGTGGGTTAACTGCCAAAAAAATTAATACAGCAGCATGCCAGTTTGGACGGGTGTGGGCACAGGGCGGGTCAATCAGGAGCATGCAGTGAAGTGATTAACATGTGTCCTGGAACTCTCTCACAGGCAAGCTGGTCTGCAGCTACAGACTGCTGATGTTGCACACAGAATAGATGGATGTACCAGCTGCTTTCATGCATGCATGCACTGAGGGGACTGAAGCCCAGTGCTTGGGTTTCAAGGAAACAAGTTTTTTTTTTTACATAATCCACACCAGGTGTGTTTTTTCTGAAAGTGAGCTTCCGTCACAAGAGCGTGCCAACAAACGGTTTTCCATCTGGTCGTGGCTCCCACCAGCGCTGAGCCTGTTCTGCGTGTGATACCTGTGAGAGGTTTCAGGTGGAGGGGTGTTGTCCTCTCGTGGTGTCTAACCCCACTCTGTGTTGTATTGTGTCCCCCCTTCTGCTCTCTACTCACTTCCTCCCACCCCGAAAACCGTCCCCTTCTGATTGTGGTTAAATCAGGGAAATGCATGCCCAAATCATCAACTCCATAAAGGGCTTGCAGTGGGACGGCGAAGACCCTCGCACGCTGCTCCAGTCCTGGGGTCGTCTGCGGTACCCTCGTCACGTCCTTCAGTGAGTCTAAACCCTCACCCCCACCACCCAGGACAGCCCAGCCCAGGCCCACCCATTGATGGCCAAGCTCCACATTGCACGAGCTGCCAGTGCTCGTCTGTAGCTAATGGAAGTATTCTTTGCCCGTTATCAAAAGAGCAGTGCTGACATGTTTTCTTCCTGCTTGATCGAACTAATTCAGAGGCGGTGGGGGGTTTCCAAGACAAGACAGCAGTAGGAATACTAGTTGAAAGTCCTATGACCCTGATGGTAACCTACAAATTGTTTTCTGTGAAAGACTTGGGTCATTATTTTTCAAATACAGAAATTTGTCTGAATTCGTCGTGATGAATGGAGACCGGCATCTCCTGGAAAATTCGGACTCCTACCTTAAAGTTATGTCACTGAGCAGTGTGAACAGTGTGAACGTTTTCCTTCTTTTTCATCTGTGGTTTTTATTATCCAGATTAACTTTTCCATCAAGCCTCTAGAACAAGGCACGAGAAAAGTGACTAAACCCTTCCCCCTCCCCAACCCTAAAAAGAGTCGATCAGAAAGTATGTCAGCAGTGTTCTTGCTTGGTGCCAAAGACGCTGTAGCGTGTTGATTCAGCCCTTCGAACAGAGATCAAACTCATGCAATTTGAGCTTTCACTGCCTGCAATCAGATGGCTGTAGTGAGTTATCGTGTCCGCGTGCACGTGTGTCAGAGCTGGCCTGCTGTGTGCTCGTGGTGAAAATGCTTAAATATCGCAGCTGCTGCATGGGTTCATGAAAGAAGCATGAGTGCTACTGTTTCTGGAACACTGCTATTAAGGATGTACAGCATCACCTATTGAGTTTATTTTTGTGTTCCAAGACTGTACAAAGTCAAAGCCCTGTTCCCCAAACAGAACAGCCTTGTACCTTATTGCCTGCATTGCTTCGAGGGGTAGAAATACCTTATTTGAGTGTGGCTCCTAAAATATCCGTACCATGAGCAGACTGACCAGATAATTTCCCTGCAACGCACAGTTGTTTTGGAGTCAGTGACATTAAAAAGAGAGATTTCTATCCACCCCTCTCCCCACTACTGTAACAATGGCAAGAATACTTCCTCTCCCTGCCGCCGAATCTGGTCTGTGCAAAATCAGGACATTATGGAACTCGTTGCCGATGTTTGGAAAGTGGGGAGGAAAACGAGATCTGGAGGCAGGGATGGTTTTCACACCTGGGTCGCTGGGCTGGGCTGGGCTGGCTGTCTGGGTCGATCTCCCCAACACTCACGTCACCCTCCCCCAGACTGGCCTCGGCTCCCCCACCTCCCCCATCTCGTCTCTGTGCCGGGTGTAACCCCTCACCGCTCACTGCATTACTGACATCACAAGCCGTGTGGCTTTCATCCCAGACACTCCTTGCTTTCCCGACTGCCGCTGCATAACCTCTAACTTTCTTGCAGGAAAAGTAAGAGCACCAGACAGAAGCAGATCATTCCCAAGGTAATCTTGCCTTCCTTATCAGATGTGGGTTTTTTTCTCCTCTCCCCCCTGGAGTGAAAGCCATATGCACACGTGTTCTTTGTGGTAAGACGAACTGCTTGCCATATGGCCTCATGCACGGTTTCCCTGGGGAGGGTAAATGTGAACACAGCTTGGACATGTCTGAAGCAATAGATGAAACACTAAGCGCCCTTCAAAGCAATGCTTAATACATTTTGATGTTCTTAAAAAAGATTAGATTATACCCAATTAAACTTAAGTTAAATGATTACTCAGGGTTGGCCTTACTGATTCCTTTAAGAAATGTAACGTTTTATCATCGGTGGAGTCACATTGAACATAATGTATTTTGAGATGTGCTGAAGTTTAGCATATCACAGACGTATTCATAGCTTTTCTTTTAAAGGGATAAAAGCACAGTGACATGTCATGTGCCTCCCGTCCTCTCTCGCAGAGCCTGATTGACTCCAGGTCCCTCAAGTTCATAGTGAGCTTGACGCTGCATGACCGTACCACCAAGTCTCTGCTGCACCTGCACAAGAAGAAGAAGCCCCCCAGCATCAGTGCGCAGTTCCAGGTAAGCCTTCCTCTGTCTGCCCACCTCTCTGGAACAGCTCCGCTTTCTTCACTTTCCATCTTTTCTGAAGATTAAAGACCCCATAGATAACACGGATTGAGGGGTCTGGGGAACCCTGGCTGGTCCCTGGGAGCTTTCTAGGGAGTCCCCAGAAGTAAGGAAGTTCTCATCCCCCATGTAGCAGCACATAAAATCACCCATTTACAGTGGGTCTGGTCCAGAAGGACTTACAGTCAATCGGATTACATTGTTTGACATTAATGGTGCATTTAAAGTCATTTTATTTATCTGGATTGGAAAGTTGCTTGCAAAGAAGACCTTGAGCCAGAAAAGTGTGAAACTCCTTAGCTTCAGTGCTTCTAAAATAAAGTTCCAGGCCCTTACACACTTGACAATCGGTGCTTAGCAAGCCGTTTCTTTAAAGTGTCTTCTGTGTGCTCCTCAGACATCCCTGAGCAAGCTGATGGAGACGCTGGGCAGAGCAGAGCCATTCTTCATCCGCTGCATTCGTTCCAACGCTGAAAAGGTACGGCCTTGCATATTCCATTGATATGGAAACCCAAATCCTTTTATTTCACATACACATTTGGCATATGGATAAAGACTGAGGAAAGTATGACCATGTGAAATGTCAGACGACACATGCGTGTACATTTAGTGTCCTACTCCTTATTGCCCACTGAGCCTCGTTAGTGGGTGTTTCTGAGCTGTTGAAGGAAGCAGAATGGAGTTTTGCCCATGTGGTCCTGCTACTGTCTCCAGACTGTCAAAACGAGTCCTTGGTGAGGACACCTCCCGGCTGTCAACTGCAGTAATGAGACCAGTCACTCTTGAGTGGAGGCCATTCCGCCCGTGTCTCTTGACTGGTCGCTGTGTGATTCGAGAACCGCGGAAGTGCTTGAGCAACGCCTGGGACTCCACGTCCATAATGCACCCAGGCCTCGTGCCCTGCGCGCACGCCGAGACACACGTGGGCCGGGCGACACGGCTGTTTACCGGGGCCGGCGTGACGGCGTGTGCTCGCTCTGCTGTGCCTGCAGATGGAGATGCAGTTTGACGAGGCCCTGGTCCTGCAGCAGTTGCGGTACACAGGCATGCTGGAGACGGTCCGCATCAGGCGGTCGGGATACAGTGCCAAGTACACCTTCCAGGTAGGCAGAGGTGCGCCGCGAGAATCAAATGACATCCAGCAACTGATCTTTGCTCTTGATTAAAAGGGTGGTGTTGATGCCAAAGAAGGTATTTATGTAACATTGGCTGTAATTGCTATCGTTGAGGAGAACAAGGTATAATTACACTCGTGAAATCAATTCTGTAACAAATAAAACACACCTCTTATTATTTTCTACGAAATTTCAAAGGGGAAGGTTACTCAAGGGATGGAAAATCCGTAAGGCAACTGTTTTATAGTACCACCATTGATCTTTTCTTTTGGTTTGGTTTTCAAGGAGTTTATCGAGCAGTTTCGGGTTCTGCTGCCGAAGAGCGCCAGCCCGGCTCAGGAGGACCTCGCAGCTCTGTTTAAGAAGATGGGGTGGGCCGACACCCACTACCAGATCGGCAAGACGAAGGTAGCGCCTGGAGGCCCCTCGGGTCTCGCAGAACGGGAAACGTTCTCCCCAAACGTTCCGATTATTAATCCAGTGACACCTGAAGAAGGCTCCACAGCCGAAAACGTTTGTTTTCTTTACCTTTCAGCACCTGTTCCTTTGCAGCCTACGCATGCTGATGCAGCTCCCTGCTCAAACACCTGAGGATGTTAATGCTTGTTGGGCTGTGCTGTCGGTTGGCCTTTCACCCTTTTTTTTTTTTGTTGAGACCCACTCAAAGAAACCCTTCTTTTCTGCTTCGCCCTCTTGGCCATCTTCTTCAGCTCCAGCATCTATCTGTTCGCCCAATCTCCCCTCCTCTTCTTTTGCCCAGGTGTTCATGCAGGAGGCGGAGAGGCAGGAGCTGCAGGACACCCTCCACAAGGAAGTGATGCGCAAGATCGTCTTCCTGCAGCGCTGGTTCCGCGCCCGGCTGGAGAGGATGCAGTTCCTGCGCATGAGGCAGGCAGCGGTCACCATCCAGGTACTCCCCCTGCTGGAGAGATGGGGGCGCTGCGGGCTGTTTGCACACACACTGGGGAGGGAAAATGGTGTTTTTGTTCTTGAAGGGGACTTTCATCTTGGAACTTATTTTAGCAGGAGGGAAGGTAGCCTGTTTACGAAAGAGACGGCCTGTTCAAGTAAAGGGATTGGCAAATTCTCCTAGAATTCCCTCATCCCCCCCTCCATACTTTTGGCAGTGGTGGAGGCGACCTGAAAACTTCTTGAGTGCTGGAACGGTCCTCTTTCTGTACCGGATTATCTAGCCCTTTCGTTTTTTCGCTCGTTTTTTCTGTTTTCCTATGTTTTGTTTTTGCTTTCAGCGAGCCTGGCAGGCCTATCAGCTGCAAGTGAGGTGCAGGGCTGCCACCATCATCCAGGCCGTGTGGCGCGGGTCACGTCAGAGACAGGCCTACTGGAGGCAGCGGCAAGGCATCCGGAGGCTGCAGGCGGTGGTGAGGGGGTACTCGGCACGCCGCAGGTGCGTTTCATGTTCCCTTCCTTTACATCTGCTAATAATTCCTAACGCTTATGTAGCGCTTTTCTGGATGCTTCAGTTAAAGCGCTGTACAGGTAATGGGGGCTCCCCTCCATCACCAATGTGTAGATCCCACCTGGCAGCCATAGTGCATTGTCTGCTCCCCACACACCAGCTCCCAGTGGGGAGGGGAGCAGAGTGATGTTCAGAGGTTATTAGGAGGCCATGATTGGTGAAGGCTGGGGGAACATTCGGCCTGGACCCTGGGGTAACACCCCTACTCTTTTCGAGAAACACCCTGGGATTTTTATTGACCACGGAGTCAGGACCTCCAGTTTTATGTCTCATCTGAAGGATGGTGCCTTTTTACAGTACAGTGTTCCCATCACTGTACTGGGGTGCTAGGATGCCCACAGACTGCAGGTTGAGTGCCCCCTACTGGTCCCACTAACACCCCTTCCAGCAGCAGCCTCAGCTTTCCCAGGAGTCTCCCATCCAGGTACTGTAGAGTCATTTTTGAGAAATGCCCTGGGATATCTGGGATACACCAGTCTGTTTGCACCTGGGTTTGAAATCAAGTGTTGAAAGTTCCTTCACATGTATGACTAGAAGTGCATCATCCCAATCCCTGCTTGGACACGGCTGTGCCGAACTGTTTCTTTCTAATAAATCTAGGTGCCAGTCCCTTCGGGAGGAGAAGAGTAAGAGGGAGCAAGAGGCCAGGGCGAAGGCGGAGGAAGAGGCCAGGGCGAAGGCGGAGGAAGAGGCCAGGGCGAAGGCGGAGGAAGAGGCTGCAGAGGAAGCCAGGAGGCAAGCGAGGAAGGCCCAGCAAGAGGCAGAGGAGCAGCAGCGTCTGGAGGAGAGGGAGAGGCAGAGGCGGGGAGAGAAGCCGGACTCGGAGATGGAGGGCGGAGAGGAGCACATCCCCGGGGCAGGCTCGGCGGAGAAGGCGAAGCCACCGGAGCCGGCCGCGAAACCCGAAGAGGAGAAGAGACCGCCCCACAGGACGAGCAGCAGCCAGGAGAAGAGGGAGCTGAGGCGGCAGCGCGCCATGGAGCACAGCCAGCGAGAGCTGAAGCGGGCGGCCTCGGGGAGCTCCGCGGCCGACGAGCGGCCGGCCCCCGAACCCCCCAAGGCCAGGGGCCAGGAGGAGCCGGCGGGGGCGGAGGGGAAGGAGTGGGCGGACAGCAGGGAGCTGGACCAGTACACCTTTGTGGAGTGGAAGGTGAAGGAGCAGCCGGCGAGGAAGGAGGGCAGGGGCTCGCCTGGCCCGGCCAGGCCCAGCTCCCTGCCCCTCGACGGCCCCCAGCCCGAGCGGAACGGCCACAGGGAGCCCGGCAGCCCCACCAGCACCCTGCAGCGCTACAGCAAGCAGGCGGAGCTGCGCGACAAGGGCGAGAAGTGGAGGGAGAAGATAAGGGGCGAGGGGGGACACCAGGACACCTCCAGTCCCGAGGACAAGAGGAAGAATTCCTTGCAGTAAGGGCCAGAGCTTTTTCCGTTTCACCACATTTTTTTGTGACCTGTTATTCTTGTGCTCGCCTTTTTTGGATTTTCTGCCTTTCTTTGAGTTCCATTTTCCGTTTTAGTCCCATTTTAGTCTTATAATTTCAGCCTTGAAATGCAGGTTGTGTACTGGCATTTCCCAGGGTGTGTGCCTCTGGCGTGATTTATCCCAGCAATACACTACTTTACCTGCCACAACTTAAAGGTTTTTTCCACTTGCTTAGCTAGCAATTGTCATAGCTTGTTTTAATGTGTTATTTAGCACCTTTCATGAGGCATGTCAAGGCACTCTACAATAAAGCAAAGGCAATCTTGGTTGGATCCTGGGCGCGGAGAGGCAGGGCAACCTGTGGTTCAAATTCTTGTTTTATTTACTGCAGAAGCAGAGGGATGTCCATCTCGCTGGATAATGTGTCCAAGTGCGGCTCTTCTGGATCGGACAGCCCTAGTGGAGCTTCTTCCAAAACAGAGGTACCTGCAGAACAGAGCAATGAGTTCAAAGACACCTTTTATTACAAAACCTTCTCAGCGCTGCAGACGCCCTTATGCAGCGTCATGCATGCATGAAATCAGCCCTGGTATTAGATGTTTTTTAACCAGGGTTTTGATTTAATGCACAATTCTATTCGTTTTTATAGTACATCTGGCCCGCCCTCTGCAATGGTGTTGCACCTGAGTAAACTTCAGTCTTGGGCACGTCTCAGTTCACCCCATTTCTCAACTTGCAGCAGACTCTGCTGAACTGCAGGGTTGTCGCGAAATATAGTTTAGTGCCCAAGGCAAGACATTTCCTGATGTTTACCGTTCCTCCCTATTTGCATTTGCAGCCCTGGTTGTATTCTGCACAGCACAAGCAATCCTGAGGAATGAGCTTCTGTGCTTGCTACATTTAAAATGCATTTATTATTTCCCCCCCATCGATTGTAAGATTTCTAGGAGTGTAAGGGAGGGCAGGAAATCATCTCATTTCAATCATTTTTGTATTTCTGAAGTCTGTTTGTAATTATGATTAAGTAATGGTGAGACAATCTGAGAGTGAATCAACGTTAGTTTTTGAGGTGTTGTGACGTTTCCTGTAAGAGCTTGGCACAGCAAACATTTAACTGGCTCTAGGCAAAGCTGTCTCTTTTTCCTAACAAAACTTGCTGGGTGCGCGACAATTTCATTGCTTCAGCAGAATGCCCAGCTGTAGAAATGGGTGCAAACATTAAGTTGCTTTTGATTAAAACATTGGACAAACTAATATTTTTTAACTTTATTTTTAGTTTAATTTTAAACTTTTTTTTAAATTGCTAACATGCATTGAGGTTCTTTTTTTACTGTTCAGGCTAGCTGGTCTCTGAACATCTGCTTGGATACCCAAAAAAAAGCAGAGAGAATTGGAGGAACTCGGAAAAGGATCTGCAGACGGATCTTTGTTGAGACCCTGTAGTTAGGAACAGTGCACAGGGCCAGTCATCCTGGCAGGATGATGCTGGTGTGCAGGAGTAGGCGGAGCTGGAATATGGGGGAGGAGCTCTGTGTGTCTTCATGTGTTGACTTCTCTGGCCCTGTAGGTCAGGGTGCGCTATCACAAGCGAAGGCTAGCCTTTGTGCGCAGTCAGCTGATGTTTAAAAGCGCGGAGGTGGAGGACATCGAATACTGGACCTTCCCCCTGCCCCCCATTAGTCCTGGTGTACCCCTCACACCCATGCGGCCCAAGCCACCGGTACAGGTACAGCCTACACCAAGGGAAAGTGGCAGACACTGCATGCCGGTTATGATCCAGTCTGTGGCCTGGGTTCAAGGTGCCACACTGCATACAGCTTGTGGAAAAACTGCCCCAGCCAGCATCGGGTGCCTCCTGCGTATCCACAGTCCTCAGTCAGCTCTGATTAGAGGGTGACGGTTCAATTCTCTGGGCATTTTCTGATCTGTTCTGTGTTCTGGTGGCTGACTGATATATATATCTCTCTCTCTCTCACTGTAGCCTACTGTGTGGCGATTCTCCAAATATAACTCGTTAAGATCCTTGCAAGTTTAAAATCAGTTGCCTTGGGCGTATCCATCTAGTCCAGCCAATGTAAAAAAAAAAAGGGATCTGGGTACATTCCAAGCCTGCTGCGAAAGCCTCATTGCTTGGATAGATTCCCCATGGCCCTCCTCGGCTCTTGCAGGCTCGCGGTGCTGTTGGTGAGGGATGTGTGTATGACCTGCTGCACAGGGCCGTGTCATCTGTAGTGCTGTAGGAAATGAGGGACTCAAAAGGACACCTGCCCGAGTGCAGGATGAGTTTACAGGTTTAATTCTGGCTCACGTTAATGGTGACCAGGATCCCCCCCAACTGGTGAAGCACAATTAGCCGAGCACCATCGAGTTACAGGGTGGGATTAGTTGCCAATGGCTGTCCTGGTTTTCATCAGCGCAGTGATCCCTGAGCTCACCTTGGGTAACCTGAAGGTGGGAGGCCGGGGGGAGTCTACCTGCACCTCCTCGTTCTCCCCCGTGTGCGGTGGCAGTGTTGGTAGCTCTTAGCCGAGATGTGAAAAACACCCACAATCGTTTTTTCTAAATCCAGTGGGTCTATTCCGAAATGGAAGATGCTTTTAAAACAAATAATCTTCCCTTTGATCTGTCTTCCCGAGTACTTTGGCTGTTGTGTGTGGATATAGCCCAACCACTGTGATCCATTCCCCCACATACTGACACTAACTTTCCCAAGTCTGGCTCCCCTTTCACTTCAGTCTGAAGTTACCCCATTCTTTTGTGTTGATCTTAAAGAGACATGTCTCCTCTGCAACCTGAGGATTCAGTGGGAGCCGGTTCTAGTATTGGTTTACTTTTATGACTCATCGTAAAATAAACGGAAATAACCAAGTAACCAAACATTAACAATTCCTTTGGATGCATTGCAGTTCCCGTGTCCTTGCCCTTGATGGGAAAACAAAAATCGAACCCTAAACTGGTTGAATTGTTTACAGCTGTGGCGATCAGTAGGACAGGCTATGTTTTGGAGACCCCACCTTGGTTAGGCTGGTAGGAGCTCTGACTTGTTTTGTATTTGTGGGGTTGCATACAGTACCTATTTTTGCTGGATTGCGTCTCTGGAACGTTTCTGAAAAGCACCTAACGTTTAAGCTCATTTTTTAATTTGACGTTGCGTTTAAAAAAAAAAATGCATGTATAAAACCGAGTCTTCTGTCTGGCTCATCATGTTTGCTATTATATGACCACAATTGCCTTTAAAAGATACATCAAAGAAAAGCTCCCAAACTAAGCTTTTACAATTTAATCTGCCGGAAACAAATCGGTTTCAATTTCCTTTAAAGCCATGAGTAGTCAGTGTCCGTCTGACCATTTTGTTGTGAAATAAAGCAACAACACCGCTGTACACAACTGCAACTGCAACTGCAAAAAGTCGCACAGTAAGGGCTGAGAGTTTCTCGTGGTGTTGGGTTCCTTTGAGCGGCAGACAAAATCGTGCTGCACGGCTTGGGGCAGATTTCCACTCGGGGAGCAGCCTGGCGTTGTCAGTCTGAATTAAAAAAAATAAAGAGCGGAGCACTCCTGCAGTCATTGAGGGAGGTGGCTGTTTGATCCTGGGCAGTGCGAGTTCAGGCTTGTAACGGTGGTTGAGTGTGGGGCTGCTGCAGCTCGTGCTGGGCTCTGGCTGCGTGTGGACCTCCTGCTGGGGCCGAGTCCGCTCCTTCCCTGCTGGGAGTGGGGTCTGATCTTTCCTGCGAGGACCCCGGTGTTGGGGGATCGACTTTGTGCTACCGTCTGACTTGGGGAAACTCCCCGTCCTGAGGACCTCCCCCCTTCTTTTTCATCTTTTGATGGTTTGTTTTGTAATGCTTTTGACAAGGTGCATGCATCTCTCTCTTGAGGATGCAGACGTTGTCTGACACTGGCCTGATCTCCCCATGTTTCAGTCCGCAGTCGAGACCACCCCTGACGGTATCCAGGCGAGCACGCTGAAGAGAAGACGCGTCGACAGCCCTGGACTCCAGGAAGCAGCCCACGCCCTCCAGCCCCACCCGGTCACACCAGAGCCAAAGTATGGCCACAGCACCTACCCTCCCCTTCCCCTTCACTACCTCAATATCATCAGCTCTTCCGGGAAACACCCAGGGGGTTAAACGGTTTGGACTGGTCCTGGAGAGCCCCATTCCAGTAAATCTTGTAACTTGGAAATCCACCAATTTCCACTGGCCTGGATCCATTGAATAATTATCGGTTAAGAACATGGTGTTCTATTAAGTCATTTAGAGATAATTTGGAACAAAATCAGAATACCCTTCAGCCCTAAAGGACCAGTGTTCAGTGAACATGACTTGCTTAATTGATCAATAACCTAAACAAATGTTTAATAAGGTGATTTAGTGTGACTTATTGGAAGAAGTCAATGGGGGCCTTCTGGTACCAAGGTTGGAAATCCTTAATAATTATGAACAAAGATCGTACAACAGGTAGTCTCTTTGTAGGATGCAATTCTCCGTTTCGGAGTTCCTGTCTACACTAATTTACAGCGCAGTAGGGAAGCGAGACTTGTACAGCAGTGAGTATGGGAAAACAGCAGTAGAAGTCGTCTTCTTGCTCTACTGAAATCGCAGCGCAGGGTTTGGTCTCTGAAGCTGCTTGTCAGGGAAAGTCATTAGCTCTGTTCTTGGAGATCCCTCAAGTGCTTTCCTAAAAAATCAACCGTGGTTCTTAAGAGTGGGATGACCTCATCCCCCTGCACAGGGGGAGAAGAGGAGAGCTGGCTCGTGGGAAACGGCTCCTCTTGTTTTAATCAGACCTGTCACAGAGAGGTTCTCCTGCCTTCGGGATATCATACAGGCTCTTTATTTCCATATATAGAAACACAGGACTGTAGAGGTTTTTTTAAGAGATTCTTGAAATTCCACCCTGTAATTTTGCCTGGATCGAGGAACCTAAGTACACAGCTGGAAAGAGACAGCTCTTTGGCACTCAATAGTTCACTAGTGAAAGATCTATAAATATTGCTTCGTAAAAGCAGCCTCTAGACTGAAGCTGTACCTGTATTCTCCCTCATGGAATACGCAGACATGGTGGCTCTGTTAAATACATCATATACAAACTGTCTGCTTGCATGCAGGAGCTTAAATACAAATGTTTTTTTTTTTAACTCTTTGTGAGGTGAGTAGCTGGAGCCAGCCATTCCATCCTGGGATGGGTCCACTTTCTTATTAGGTGTTAGTGTTTGAACATCTTCTCCTTGCTATATAGGAGAAGTTCAGTTCCAGTATTAGTTCGTTCATTACTATGTGATGTCATCTTTGGCAAGCAGGGCCAAGGAAGCAATGAAGTATAAATTAACAAAAGTATCGACATGGTGGAAGTCTTGCTATAGGCTAGAGCAGAAGAGCCAGCGTTGCTTGTCCTTGCTTTGCAGGCTTTCTTGTTGGCTGGTAATGTATGCAAGGCACAGTTCTAACTTGGCATCCACCCACACATCCATCCATTTTCTGACTGCTTCATCGAATTCGAGGTTGCACCCTATCCTGGCAACCAATGGGCACAGGGCGGAGTGCACCCTGGACTGGACGCCAGCTCATCTCAGGGCACACGCAGACAGGCACAAACACACTGGCACACAAACGCGTCGCGGCCAGTTCTCCCAGAAGCCCATTAACTTGCCAGGCTTTGGACTGTGGGAGAAAACCAGAGCACCTGGAGGAAACCCACGCCACGTTGGGGGGGGGGAGAACATGCAAACTCCACACGGATAGCACCCCAGGTCCTCAAGCTCAACAGTCTTTGAGGGGGGGTGCCCCTGAAGCAGTGGTCTAGACTATCATTGTGTTCCAATGCTGCCGTTCCAGATCGGGGTTCTTGAGTAAGATCCTGCGGAAGCATGGCGACCGGCGACCTCAGAGGGACCCCCAGACTCCCGACGAGGGGGAGCCAACCACGCCCCAGTCATTGGAGGCGCATGTGGCGTTGAAGATACCAGAAGGTAAAGACCCAAAAAAAAACAGCTAAATTCATCAAGTGCTCTAGAAGATGAGAAGGGTTACGGATGATGCAGAGCTTTTTCATTCTCATCAGTTAGGAGCTTTGTAGCTGGAGAATACAAAGATTTTCTTTTGGTCCACAATGTGGCACAGAAAAAATGTTCCCCCGTGCTTTATGTGGGGGAGGGAGGTTTGACCTTCAGAAGTCCGTGTTTTCTTGGACTTGAGTTTAGAATCATTCAAAAATGATTCTGGGGCACTGGCTCTGTATTGTCATATCTGGAAACTGCTTAGCCTCACCAGCGGAGGAATTCTCCCTGTCCTTCTTCAAGGACACACGGAGTTCATTTTGTACCACAAAAACAAGACATCCATAGCTGTCCTGTTTATTTCCTGCAGCTATAAGCATCCCTATTCTGTCCTTCCCCTGATCGATACCTCAGGAAGCAGTTTTGTGACATAATGTGATCCCCATACCCCTGTGTGTTACTGCTAGGCAATAAGGAGAAAGATAAAAGCATTGAAATGGTCCTTTCTTTGCAGCTGCAAGATGTAATGAAAGATGCATCATCACAGAATGTCCACGTCAGTCACAAAATTCATTTCTCCCACATGAAAGTGGAAATTCTTACAGCATGCTTTGTGCCATATAATTAAAAAGATGCATGTGTGGATACTGCTATATTTTTCCCCTTTTAGTAGTTTTTTTGAAAGCTAGTCCCTAGCATAGCCTTGCAGTCATTAAAGTGATATTCTACTGCCCTCTAGTGGTTTTCAGTTTCTTTCCCCTGAAGGTACAAACCAGGCTCTCCTATTCCCATCTTATTTGGAAGGGGGTTGCAGAAAGAACAGAAGAGTTAATAAACATGTTTCAGCCTATGAAACTGAGGCCCCCAATAAGTGAAATGTCCTTATTTATATAAGTGAAGTATATTTACAGTGTTTTAAAATGTTTTACATAAATCCATCCGTTTCTTCGGCACTCTGAGCATTTTCATTCCCTACTAAACCTCTTTTCCAAAAGAGGATTTAAGCCGCTTTAGGCTTTAAATCCTAATGGCAATTGCAGTCAAGAAGCTTCAGCTGGTATCTGCTGGTGACCAGGACCTTCCAGTTAGAAACGTATCAAAGCGGAGACCAGTTTATTACAGAGTCGCTTTTAAAGTGAGCGTTTGCATTCTCCTGGTCCTCAAGTTGCCAGTACAGCGGTGCGTGCCGATTTTAAATACCAGTTCCGCGCATTGCAAAACCAGTCGCTCATCTCTACTGGAGCCAGCTGGAATTTCCCATCGGAATGGCAACAAGTATGGAAGCGAGCAGAGATTCCGCCTTTGTTCTCTCCCTGTTCCATGAAAGAGTGGGGAACGGAGGAGCGGAAGGCATTATGGGTCAGTGAGTCTGTCTGTCTTCTTCTCTCCTCTTCCTCGCTGTCCTCCGTTCGCTTCGCCCCACAGCCCACATCCCGCCACCGGCGTCCGGTTCCCAGCACCCCAACCCCGCGGGGACCCAGGCCAAGCGCAAGGGCACCATCAAGATCAGCCGCGCCACGCGGGTCTCGGAGCAGTGGAACGCCTCGCTGGACCGCCAGATCAGCAACGCCAACGAGCTGCGTCACCTGGACGAGTTCCTGGGCAACCAGGTGAGGTCTCCCTCCCGCAGGTCCCGAGCGCCCAAAGGCCCCGCCGTCTTTGTATTTCCACGCCAAAATGCAGAGATCGAAGTGCTCGTGGGGCAGAGCTTGCGCAGCCCCGTACGCGGGTCACTGTGTTGAAACGGGTGCGTTTTTAGGACCCGGTGGCTCCCGCTGCTCTGGGTACGGCGCTCAGCAGTGTGGCGTGCCAACGGGCCGGGACTGCGGGGCTGGGGTGTGACCTGGAGGTTTTTCGCTCTCTCTCCCCCCCTCTGCCAGGTGAACGAGCTGCGGTCGAAAGGGAAACAGCTGTCGGGCACCGAGCTCATTTTCATCACCGCCACCACCGAGTTCAGGAAATTCATCAAGAGCATGTACTCTCTGCAGGTGGGTCCTTTCTGTTGTTGATGACCCGATTCCTTCCCGCCGTCCGAAGTCATGCTGGGAGGTTAATTGTCTCCTGGGTGAAGTGGCCCTGGTGTGAGTGCGCGTCTGCTGGCGTCTGCCCTGTGATGGACTGGCAAACTCGTCCAGGATGCACCCTGCCTCTCACCTGTTGCTTGCTGGGTTAGACTCCAGCTCCCCTGCGACACCTGAACTGGAAGAAGTGGTTAGAAAATGAATGGAACTGCTCATTCCATTGCTGCTTGAGTTATCCCAGGGTGCTTTATGACAGTAACCCCAGACAAGCCAGCAGTTTTCCACAGACACTGAACAGTTCACTTGCGTATCTGATAAGATTTTGGTGAGAACAGTCTAGGTCTTAACCTGCAGAATGTCTTCCTTCTGTTGGGCTGACAGAAGCTGCAAATGGGTTACAAGGGGCTGATGAACCACTACAAGATGGTGGTGCACACTCAGGCTACGGAGAAGCAGAAGGAGTCAGAAGTCCACCTGGTGGTCAATCTATTCCAGTCGGTCCTGGATGGGTTCATCCGTGGAGAGATGAAGAGGGAAGAGGGGGAGCAAGCTAAGGTAAAGGGGATACCGCAGTGAAGGAAACTCTGAACTGCGTTTTACCTTGAGGGAGTGTGAGCTTAAACAAGCAGGTGTCCTGTAAACATCTGTAAAAGTAAAAGCATAACTTGGGCGGTGTGTTTTGTATAACCTTCTAGCTTAAAGCTACATGTTTAAGACTTCAATGTGGACGAGAGCATCTTCCTAAGGAAGTAATGAAAGAAGGGTAATTAATCGGGTTTTTTAGGTACTTCATTTTTTAAATGTTAACCTACAGGCCCAGTTTCAGTTGGGCAGCAGTTTTGTAAGTAATGAACATGTAGTGATGCTCATACTTATTTCTGAGATTTTTTCATTTCAGCCTGCAAAAGCTCAGAAGAAGAAGAGGAGGAAAAAGGACAAATTTGTAAGTGCGCCAGCACCTCATTTTAATCAATAAATGATTTTAAAAAATACCCTTTAAAATGTTTATAACTTTTTTTTTTGCTAAAATAAATGCTCATAAGTGATGTTGGTAAACAGTAGCAAAAAGTCTTGTTAGAATATCTGCTTCTACTCTTTTCTGGGTAGTAGCTTTCCAGGATTTTCACTTTGTCAAATCTGTTTCAGAAGGAAAACTATATGGACCACATATTCAACACGTACCAGGTGAACATCATGCAGTCCTGTGATCAGTGCAACTCATTCATCTGGGGCATGGAGAAGGCCTATATGTGCACAAGTGAGTATCAGGAGCTAGATTCATCCAGTGTAATACCGCGTATTATAAATGTCCTGAGATTCTTCAGCCTACACTTTAAATTGTAATTATGTAAGCTTATGATTTTTATATTTCTGATTTGAAGCAGTGGTTGATTTGTACGGGTGTATGCATTGTACCGTGGAGTAATCAGCATTTTAAGCATTAAAGGGATGCAGTGTCCCAAGCTTAAGAATCCTGTTTCAGATTGTAAGGAAAACCATGCCTGAACTGGTCTGAAACTGAGCCCTGCCTGGGTGCATGGACAGATGGGGGAAAGTGTGATGTGGTCTTGTCTTCCCTGTTGGCGAGAAGCAGCTCAGGAATCGATGGCGACAGAATTATTAAATTATTAGCGGTGCTGTTTTTGTTTGGGGTTAGAATGAATCCGTGTTGATGAGTGCATTTCAAACCACAATGGAAGTAAAACAGTAACATGTAAAAATTCCAATTCACATCATAAAATTTCCAGGTGTGAGAAGCGCCTTGTTGTGCAAGGAATGAGGCAACAAAATTTCTGGTGAGGTGAAGCAGCCCTATTACATTGGAAAGAAGCAGGCTTGTGAACACATGTCTTTTAATCCAGTAAAAATATGGCTCTCAACTGCGAGATTGTTTTGCCAACAAATACTACTTGTTAGCTCTGCATGAAGATTATACTGGAACATTTCTGTGGTGAAATGTCTGCTGCACAACCTGTACTGTATTCGCTCGTGCATCGCATTACATGAGTCATCACAGGGACTAGTGAGCATGATGGGACACATCACGTCACAATTTACACAAACTCTCAAATGGTGAATATCCAGTCTTTTTGCAAAGTTCACTATTTTGTGATTGATTCAGAATGCAAAGATTTAATCACTAGACGGAGAAATTGTGACTGTTGTTCCCCTTTATAGTACTAGAATATCTTTCACACACTGATTTTTTTTGTTTTGTGCTTTTTGTCTTCAGTGTGCAAAATGGTGTGTCACAAGAAATGCATCAGTAAACTCCAGACGAGCTGCTCTTTCTATTGTGCAAAAAAGGTAAGAAGCATTGCAGGAAAAAGCCTAGCACAGATTTGATTATTTCTATTATTAAGATTGTTTTTATATAGAGTGAAGCAGACAGTATGACGTCACACATGCTGCTTTCAGTTGATGTTTAAGGATAAAGGCGTGTCTTATTTAAGCGTTTCAAAAGTAACAGGAAAAAATAGTAAAAGTAATTTAAAAGCAGAAAAACGAGTTGAGTGATGACGTTCGTTACACTAAAGTTTTTGAGGAAAGCCATGCTCTGTCAGGAAGCTCAGCATTTTTCTAGCTTGATAATACATGTCCTCACTCGAGTGGAATAACTTCACCAGCAGTGTTAAAAGTAAAAATTGCATATAAACTGTGCATTGCCTTACCCGAGACTGCACAAACCTCATGTCTGTCAGTCTTCTCAAGTGGTTTAAAACCACACATCGTCCGGCTCAATTTCTTTTTCTTAGGTAGGTGCTTTAAGGGTAAAATTATTAACTGAACACTTCATGGCTAAATTTTAAGATGTAGTCTTCCCTTAACATAGTGTTTTCAAAGGACGGGCTCTACGTCGTTGGTTGTGTACGTTTGTGTTTTTTTGCGTCGGTGTTCCTTTGCGTCTCTCGTTCCAACGTTGCCACGCGTTCCGCGTGTGTGTTTGCGGCAGAGCGAGGAAGAGTCGGGATCGCACTTCGGCGTCCGGGTCTGCGCCCTGACCAGCAGCAAGAACCCCGTGCCGGAGGTCCTGTCCATCCTGCTGGAGCACGTGGAGATGAACGGCCTGTACACGGAGGGCATCTACCGCAAGTCCGGCTCGGCCAACCGCATGAAAGAGCTGCACCAGCTCCTGGAGTCTGGTGAGTCGCAGGCTTTCTCCTTGTTATCCTGCTGGGCTGGAGACGAGACGCCAGCAGCTCACTATCCTGAGCCCACAATGGGTTCTGCATACTGGAGGAGGGAAGAGGTCAAATCAATCTTTTTTTTTTTTCCATCCATATAATTTATTTTTTGCAGACCCTAACACAGTAGTCCTGGACAATTACCCCATCCACGCAGTCACGGGGCTTGTGAAACAGTGGCTGAGGGAGCTGCCCGACCCGCTCATGACCTTCGAGCATTACAGCGACTTCCTGCGGGCTGTGGGTAGGTCCAAGGTCATAGGTCGCGGGGCTGGATAGGAAGGACGGGTTTGGGGAAGGAGCAGTCAGATGCGTTTAGTTGTTGCTTCAAAGAGGATTTATGTGGAGCTCTTTGTGGTCTAACGGGGTTGTCAATATATTCAGGAAGTCTTATGATGCTGCCATAATTTAGGGTATATAGAATTTAGAGGTTGTGTTAAAAACCAAAACCAGATTCTTGATTGTGAATCGGCAAAGCAGGAAAGCTGTAAACGTGTTATTGGAAACGTGTTTTGAGTAGAAATGCCTGTGCTTAAATGAGTGAAGTAAATGGGTAGGAAAAAAAAATTAGTGCGGAAAAAAACGGCACCGTTTTCCATGGCAAATCCTCACCTGTCTCTCCATCCCTGCAGAGCTGCCCGAGAAGCAGGAGCAGATTCAAGCCATCTACAAAGTCCTGGATCAGCTTCCTCCGGCCAACTACAACACCCTGGAGAGACTGATCTTCCATCTGGTCACGTAGGTCTCCCCTGCCGCTTCTGTGGGGTGCACTGGTAAAACTGAGGCCCAGTTATTCCGGTTCACACCAAGGTGCAGGTTTTATTAAAAGCTCCCAAAATTCAACTCAACTGTACACCTGCATATTCAACGGTTTCCCACAAAGCATTAAAATTACTGGAATACCTGGACATTGATTAACACATAAGGAATCCAACCTCTTTCTTGTAGGGTGGCCAAGCACGAGCAGAGCAACCGCATGTCTCCCAACGCCCTGGCTATTGTCTTTGCTCCTTGTATCCTGCGATGCCCGGACAGTGCTGACCCCTTTACCAGCATGAAGGATGTGGCCAAGACAACGACGTGAGTTTCTGGGGCTCTTCCCAGCTGCAAGGCTCGGGAACATCCCAGCGGTCCAAATGCAGGATTCCTTCCAAGTGGCTCGGATTCCAGTTCCATATTCGAGACAATATTATGGATTTGTAAACGGTCTTCTTGGAGAATCAGATTGTATTTTGCATGTCTTTTAGCTAAACGAAAGCTATTTTAGGTAAACGAAAGTCAGTGTTTATCGATCAGGGATATGTTAAAGCATAACGCACCCTTTGTTAATTGAATTATGGAGATGCCGTGTTCACTATTCATGTGTGGTTCAAACTGCTGGAAAGCCCTAAATCTTTAAAGCACAGAATGTTGTTTGGCTGTTTTCTGTGGATTTAAATTGAGTTATTATTCAAAGCTAAAGGACAATTACCTTAGGTAATCATAAGTCCTGCAGCAACTATTTTAACTTTCGAACAGCGACTTTGAGAACAGTGAGATTTTTATTTGCCACGTGATCGATCGATCGCATGCTATCCGTTCCCTCTTGCAGCTGTGTGGAGCTCATCCTAAACGAGCAGATCAGGAAGTACAACGAGAAGATGGAGGAGATTGAGCACCTTGAGGAGGCTGAAGCCCTGGCACAGAGACAGCTCAAGCTGAAGAGGCAGAACACGGTAATTCTTGATAAATGGCCAAGTCAGACTGACCAGATAGCTGCAGGGTGAGACAGGTGCACCTCTGTTACAAGCAGCAGCACGAGCAGCTAAACTCAGGATCTGCCAGAAGTTGCAGACTTTGGGGGGAAAAACAGGAGAATACCAACACAAAGTATAGAGCCCAAGCTGAACAATAGTTTAAAACAAGTATTGCCTTTTGACATCGGTAGCAGGAAATGTCAGTGTTTTTATCTTTCACTGACTCTTTACGCTTTTGTAGTTCCTGAAATGTAATGTGACAGGTTTGCTGAGCGCCGATAGTGTCCAGCTTTTCTGTTTAGCTGAACTGTCAGCCAGGCTTTTTCGTCTTCTGAACTATTAAACCAATTTGGAAAAACAAAAGTCTCACAAAAGCCAGGGCCTCTCATTTTCCAAGCCTGATTGAGTAATTATTACTGTGATAGTGTCGGCCGCCGCTGCACCCAAGTGTAACCTGGTTCGTTTTTCTCTGATTCTCCTCCTCTTCCTGTAGCACTGGCTTGTGCCGCTCAGGTTCTCCTCTACTTACAGAGGAGCGGTGGTATGTATCGGACCCGGCTCGGTTTTCTCGTGGCAGAAAAAAAAAACCCACACAGGGCTGTTCTCCACCTTCACTCTGCATGATGTGGAACGGTTCACTCCTCGTACTAACGTCATCAAGCTGCATGGTTTTTTCTGATGGTTGTCAGTGGTAGAGATAGGTGGGGGGGGTTCAAAAGAGGAGGTTCTCTGGGTGTCATCTGAGTTGGAGCACCCTTTCAGTGGATTCAGGCATTTTGGTAAGGATGTGGCCTATTTCCATCTGCTCATCACTCTTGTGACAGCAGTGGAGGAGGCAGTCTAGTAAAAGCCCCCCCAAACCCCTCGTGTTTACCATTGAAGGATCGCACGCCCCCTGGATCCAAGGCATTGGCACCTGAGATCATGCGATTGTCATTTTCACTGGGTCTCGTCCGCGACCGAAAACCAAGCTGAACAAAGTTCAAAATTTAGCCAATAAAAGAAAACGTGCCATTTGCTACATGGGATTCAGAACAATTTCTGCAGATTGCTGATGACGTGCTGATTTTAGAACCTCTTCTCCAATACCACATGGCAAGCGTTTCTAAACAAGATGGCTCTGCCGGAGTCTGACCAGTAGTACCTTCTCTGAAGCTTCTGAGTTTTCAATCGAAGTTTGCCGATTTAATTTTGCCTGGGAGATACAAGATTCCCTCCCCTGTGTGAAAGGAAGTGGGGGGAAGGGGTCTTATCTAATCCTTGTGTGTTTACTTAGTTTAAGTATTAGCTGTGGCTCCTTTCCTATTTTTTTCTATTTTGTTTTCTCAGGTACCTTTGTTAAAAGGCTTTAATGAAATGACCATTTGTAAGGATTTTTGCAGTGGATGGGATAGATGTCATGCAGACTGTTGCAGATGTGTTGGGTTTGGAGTGGGGCTGGTTGTCCCTGATTCAGCTGATTTTAGTAATGCTTCAGTTCATTAAATTTCCTAGGTTTGGTTACTTTGAAAAAGCCTTCTTTAACAAACATACCACTCTCCTGAAACGAGTTGGTGGTGATCTGCATAGAATCTTCCATTTCTTTCAGGCCATTCACTGCTTCTAAATCCTTTGGTGTCACAGTCTACAATTTGACTTAATGAAATAATTTTGAGATCTTTATTTTGGAATATAAAGCCTGTAAATAAGCCGTGAAGTTTGTGTGGCAGTCAGCCTGATTTCTGTTCGGAATAGCAAACCTGCCAAATATATTTTGCCACGTGAATGGCATATTTGAATGATAAAAGGTATTTTCCATTCCTGAATCCCCCAAATATCAGTGGTGGTATTCCTCTAGCTTTCTAGCTAGACTTGTAAACCGCATATTCAAAAATGAGGCCGAATACTCGGTATCGGTATCCACGAGCAAATAGCAGGACTTGGGATGTGAAAATGGGATGAATAATTCCAGGAGGCACAGCTGCTTTTAATCCAAAACTACAAAACCGCAGTTTGGTTAAGGAATGTGAAAGAAATGGGTGTTATAAAACATAGATGGGAAAAAAAACTTGCTCCACTGCAGTTTAAAAGCAATAGCAAAAATTCAGGGATTTGGGAAAACTATAGACCATGTTTGGTCTACTTGCTGAGACAAAGTTTTTACAGATATCTTGATTTTTACGCTTAATATGTATGTAAGGCATAGGAGAAATCCTAATGCATATAAACAGCATTCAGAATTTGCGTTCTAACTCCTGATATTAATTTAACGAGAATTACTTTATAATACATACAATTCTGAATACTTTGGCACTGTAAATGTCCTGAACTCTAAATATCTCCCTCTTTCATGCTAAAACTGTACATGCAGCATACAAACAGGTTTTTATGCTGCACGTACAGTTACTGCCATATGACTGTAGGAGAGTCCACAACCTGGTGCTTCACACCGGTTTAAGTGTTTAACAGACATTTCTCTATCTTTAATTACTCCTCCCGGGACTTCATCAATATTGTGAAGGCAGATTTTGATTTTTTTAAACCCATTAATGCACAATTTACCGGTGCTTTTGTTTCACCAAACGTAGCAGCGTTCTGAAATGCATGCCACTGAAAACAGTTGACCTGAAGTATGCCTCATGACATGTGCTAACCAAACTGTAGTCAGCAATTGCACGTTCGCACTTAAAACGGAATCCAACCTTAACACTGATTCTCCAGCATTTGTTTGAGCCTCATGCACTTTGAATGTCTCCATCTCTTCCTGCACGTAACCCATAAAGAACCTGATTTGAGTCACCACTCTGGAGCTGTTAGTCATTCACTAATGCTGGATAAAGCAAAGGCAACATCAAAACATCGATTAATTGCAGTTTTGCCACTACTTCACAAACTAACACAGGAACCTCCAACAATGGTTTTGCACAGTCCCAATCTTGTGTGTTTTCTAGGCTACCCGTTTTTCAGAATTTGAAAGACACAATCATTTAAGTGTGTTTGGATCTGGTTTTAGAGTCTCCTAAATTTCTCCATTGAATGAGTCAAACGCTTAGCTGCTCACGCACTGTACCCGGGTGTTGAGTGATTTAATGGTTACCTGTAAAACCACAGGTTGGCGACCTCGTGCACTAACACAGAAAGGGGGGGGGAAACCCGCCCAGGGAAACTCTGAAGTGTTTCGTAAAGACTGTTTGTTTGCATCCATCTGCTCCAAGGTGAATGAAAAACGGTCTTCGGATCTGGGGGTGGTACCGGAGAACCAACCTACGGACTCGGACGTGGAGGCGGAGATGACGCTCATGGCGCGAATCAGGTCTATCAAGCAGGAGAAGTAAGTGACTGGGGAACCAACATCGTTAATCGCTGGGCCAGACGCTTCTTACTAACAATTTTTGTAATCCTGCTCCTAGACATCTTCTCCCCTCCCAAAGGTTTTTTTTGTGTTTGTTTCCTCATCAGACCTGTTGGCTTTGTTCCATCGTGTTTGCACAGCTTGCCAGAGGGGGCAAGAACGATCAGGCAGATATTTACGCAACAAACACTGCGCTTTGGCTGTTGGAAACGTTGGTGATTTTTCACAAGACTTTCTCCACTCCCAAACAAAAACCCCTTTGTATTGGAATCACGTGTGCATAGATCGGAGCAGTACCTTTTGTGTCCAGATAGAAGCACTGCTTCAGCACACTGCTGGTCTCAGCTGGATCACCCTGCAACTCGCAACTGGCAGCCCACTGAAGCTCAGCAAATGTGATCGGAGTTATTTCCTCCTGGGAAAGCAAAGGCTGCTGCAGCCTCAGTGGTCAGTGGGTCCAGAGGGGGGCGCTCACCCTGTGGTCTGTGTGGGTCCTAAAGCTGACGTATAGTGAAGGGAACACTATACTGTAAAAAAAAAAACACACCTTCCTACGGATGAGACATAAAACAATAATAACATTAATATAAACATTAATGATCTTGACTCTCTGATCATTAAAAATCACAGGGCACTTCTTGAAAAGAGTAGGGTAATTACCCTCAGTGTCCTTGCCACCTTGCCATTTTCCTCCAGCCTTTACTAGTCATGACCTCCCGATAAACCACATGTATGAACTGGCCTTGTCACTCTTAGAGCTGGTGTGTGGGAGCGTACTGGCGCATTTTGGCTGTCATTGCCCCGTTCCAGGTGGGGCTGCCCACTGGTGGTGGTGGAGGTGGATCCCCCTTCCCCGTGAAGCGCTTTGAGTGGAGAGTCCAGAAAAGCACTACAGAAGTGTGAGGATTATCATTATGATACAGATGAGCATTGGTATTGGGATCATCCTCCGTGTGTTTTCTCCCCTCCTTTCCTAGGGAGGAGATCACGTACCGGCTGCCCGACCTGGAGCAGCCCGGTTCGGACCAAGAGAACATGGACTCGGAGGCGTCGGTGAGCTCGGAGAGCCTGCTGGACGACAGGCCGGTGAACTCGGACACCGAAGGTCAGTATTAAGGTACAGTCGCCACTTTTTTTCTATTCATTTTTTTTTCTAACCGTGTCGATCCGTGTTTTTTATTTGTCCGCCCCCCCCACCCCCCCCTCCGTGTCTGTGACTCTCGTTTGGTCCAGGTCAGAGGAAGACGGCGGCGGGCGCCGATCTCCGCGTGCCGACGGGCGACCTCGCCATCCGTTCCGTTTCAGGTCGCGCCGTTCCCTGAGCCTGCAGCGCGGCGGGACCCTTCAAGTGCCCAAGTAGATGCAAATGTTGTTGCTTTTCTGCAGCTGATCCTTTTTGCCTATAGGTTGCTCAGAACCTTTTGTTCAGTACGCATAGCAGTGACATCCTTCGGATTACCCACTCTCTCCAAGTCCTTTCTCAAAACCAAGCAGGACCCAGCCCTTCCCTAATACAAGAACATCAACATGTTTTTCTGCGATTCTGACTGCTTTTTCTCAATTTCACAAACCTATTTTTTTTAAGTGTAGACAGAAACAATTTTTCCCGTTCTGAACACGAATGGTATTGATATCATTTTCAAAAACCTAAAGCATGTCTGCTGGGTACAATACCTTTAAATATGTGTGACTTTATCAACTGCAGATGCAGGTGGTGTGTTATTGGTGGGGTTCTTGGCACCTTGACGTTCATAGTGGATCATTTTTCACTGTTTTGGCCTGAAAATTAACGAGGTGGGATAAATGGATGGGTTGGTGGCGTCTTTCGTGTTGTGCAATGTGGCAAGGCTTATTGGCATGGCCCGATTCTGCAGATCCTGGTTCTTAGATGTCCCTCCTTTTTTTCCCCCGATCTAGGGATGGCGAAGAGACTGAAAAATCTGCGAGCGTCCTGTCCGCCCCAGCCCGCCGTCCAGCCCCCAGCAAAAGCCGACCGGCCGCCGCTGCCTCTGCGTGTGTGCTCCGACTCCAGCCTGCTCCGCGCGGCCGCTCACTCCCCGCCCCCGCCTGCGCACACCTTCCGGCTGCACAGGCGCACCCCCGTCCTCCCCACCGGCAACGTCCGGCTGCCCCCCGGCGTGCTGAGCCATCCCGCCGTCGCCGCCCAGGGGATCGCGCCGCCGCTGCGGAACGTCAGGACGCTGCAGCTGGTGAAGCGCCGGGAGCAGCCGGCGCGCCGCAAGGACAGCATCCAGTCCCTGTACGTGCTCCCCGGCGCCGAGCCCTTCCCCTCGGGCCCCGCCCCCTGCGACCGTGACCCCGCCCCCATGAGCCGCGACTCCGCCTCCACCGCCCACAGGCGCTTCTCCAACCCCGACATCTCCTACATCGATGGCGAGGCTTGAGGGCGGATTTCCGTGCATTCGCCTTGTTTTTTTTTTACTGCTATCGGGAGGAAAGGTTGCAGGATTTTGCATCACCAAGCACTTTTGTACCTTATTCAGTTTTTCAGAAAAAATGCTGCATTCGGATGTTGGGGGGGGCCCCCCCAGAAAAACACTTTTAAATAACCGAGGGGCAGGACCTGCCCTTTTCTCTCCTTCCTCGAAAGGGACTACCTTAAATATATTGATCTGCTCATCTGCACCTCCCCTTGCCTGTTTTTAAAAAACTCTTTTTAAGTACTGTTGGAGAGGACCAAAAGAGTGCTCGAACTCGCTTCCAAATTGTGCCTTATTTTTTTTAATTCTGACTTGTAAAGAAGCATGTTTATTTTAACCGAGGAGATTGGGAAACCTTTACCTTGCAGTGGGTATCTGGTTATTTTTGCTACTTTTTTTTCCTGTTATAGGACAAGATCTTTGACGAGTCAATTGCATTTATTACTTCAGCTGCGCCTTGTCTGCTGTGGGCTTCTAGCACCATCCCCGCTCCTTTTGGTTACATAGCTAGTGTAAAACTGAGAGACGTTACACAGAAGAAGGGGAATGCTATTTCTTCAAAGGGAGATGTAATTTAGCAATGGAATGTCAGGTGTAACACTAGCTGGAGTTCGTTTTCAGAAATGGCCATGTTTCTGCACAAAGCTACTTCATAGTTGCCCTTTTGGTTTTGTAAGTCTCTGGAATATTGGAAGCCTTTTAAATTTGAGGCTTTGTTGTTATTAATATAGTATTTCCTTTAAACCATGCTGTTTTATTCTGTCAGTGCTGTAGCAGACATGATGGCTCCTTCACCTTCTCACTTCGTCCGCCATCGCTGGGGTTAGGGGAAATCCATTCAGAAGCCTTTTGTAAGGGCAGAGGGTTCAGATATGTGCGATGAGAATGCTCTTGTGCAAGACCCATAAAGCCAACAATGGTGGGGAATAATACCTGGAATCTGCCCCCATGAACATTTTTTATCCTTGTATAGACTGGGAATAAATCTGTATATCCATTTTCCATAACCCACTGTCTTTCACTGCCGGTGTTGAGCAGTGGCGTTTTCTTCGGGAACAGGGGAACTTTGTACAGATTGGTGGTGGTCGTGCTGAATCCAGCTCTCGGATTTCTGAATCTGCATGGCCTCAATCCTGTTTGTCACGCTGTGCCGATTTCTGCAGTAATGCCCTCAGAGTGCTTTGACAAGTAACTCGATTTAGTTAGCCCTAAATTCACTTGTCCCTGTTGCATGTCAGACCTGACTGTTTCCAGATGTGCTTGTGTTTTCGCTCTCTGGAAACCGGAGTAAAACTGTGGACAGCTTTCTCTCTCCAGTTCATCTCAGGGCTAATGAAATTGTCTTAAAGTGGTGGTGCTTTTAACACCTATACAGTTCTGTACTCTTTTGTGGAAGTGTCCATCGCCCAATCATGAATTTGACTAATTTTAATTAACCTTTTTCTCGTACAGTGAACACGAGTAATTGTTAGCACCAGTCCAGGACTCTGAAGTTGGGCATAAGAAAGAACAGGTATTGGTTTGTTTACAGGTTACAAAGCAGTTGCCGTGTATTAAAGTTATCTGCTGCATTGTCCCAAATGTAGTTGTGCAGTAATTACAGTGATGTTCGTCTCTTTTCCACCTGGGATACACCCTGTAACAAATGGTCCGCATCTCCGATCCAGCAGGAGAGCCCCATTAAAAAGATATTAAATGTCCCCTGCAGTCCTGTGCCCTTTAGCAAAACTGCTCTGCCTGCTCTCCCCAATCCAAACCGTTGCAGCAACAGAGATTAATGAGCAACCTTTTTGTATCCCATTAACGCTTACTATCATCCCCCGGAACGATGCCACATAAAGAAAAAGAGCACATTTCCAGTGCAGGTGCTTTCTAATGAATGTCTCTTGGTTTGTATTAAGCTCAGTATAACAACCGACTTTAGCCTGTCGGTATACACAGCTGCTTTAGTGCTGTGCACATCTGTCACAGTCCACTTCCTTCCTGCTGGGTGGGTCACCAGCTGTCAAGACGCCAATGACAAACCTTCTGGGTAACACTTTATTTAGGTGTACATTGTAAGTTATCGCAGAAAAAAGGATGAATGTTAGCATGTATAAAGGCATGAAAACGTGTTAGGAATTTCTTACTGGGGAAAAAAAAAGGTTGTATGTACTGATACTGTGCAGTGGTTAATTAACCAAGATGCTACGTGACAGGATGTTAGTGAAATAACTAAATTATAATGTACTCCTAAAACGTGGTGTTACCTCTTTTGTCAGAGTTTAATAAAGTTTTTAAGCATTCATATATCTGAATTCACAACCTCCCCCCACCAAATGGTTTTCCTGACAGGTGTTTTTTTTAGGAGGGTGTGCATTGTTGGAATTGCTGCGATACCTCTTCCACTTTTTATAAGACCAAATCCATTTCCACAATGGATTGGGAATAAAACAAGTTTATATTGGGACCTTATCGGTTCTGGGTTGATTCAAAGTGAATGACAATCTCCTGTTGTGAAATAAAGCACTTAACGCTCGAGTATAGTTTTCTAAACTTAAGTGTCAGTGCCTTTCCCGTGCTTCTTAGCAATAGTCTTTTTTTTCTCATTTCCAAGTCAACACTACCCTACCTGCATACTCGTCTTCAGTGTTGAGAAAAATGGAGCCATCATGCAATACTGAGGCACCTTTCACCAGTGGAGAATAATGGCTGCACAGGCTCATCGAGCAGAGTACCACAGTCAGGGTATATATGGTGGTTTTGCACATTCAAGAACGTTTTCCAGTGACACACATCGATTACCTTTCTGATGCTCAGCTTCCTTGCGAGTTATTTTGTCAGCGGCAATCTGCGCAGGATGTACACGTTCTTATTTCCTTTTATTTTTTCTGTTTAACGTGGTTCTTCTTTTCTCAGTGTATGAGAGTATAAAACTTGTTTATTGATGCTTAGTGTACAGAAAAGGGCTCTGGGAACCAAGGTAGAAGACAGCCACAGCGTAAAACTTTAAACGAACCTTAAATGTCGCTCAGAGACTGCAGCTTGCAGGTGTTCTTCTATGGCTGAGTATCCAGAAGATGTATAAAAGAAATGCAGTGCTGAACTGTAAAATCCACTTGACTTTATTGCACATCTATAAATGGTATTTTTGCTCTGCAAACCAGGATATCCATCATGGAGCAAAGCATAGAAATATTGTTAAAAAATGAAAAAGCAACATGACTGCCCGAATGTTCAGTTTTATTTTTAGCAGTTTTCAGTGCCCAAGTAGGTATTTGAAAATAAAGTAGATGAGTGACTGTAAGTGTTTAGATGTCTGTGCCTCAACCCCCAACCCCCCACCACCACATGTAAAGACCAACCACTTGAAATTCCAAAAGTATGTTTTGCTGGATTATCCTTGTTCAGGGCCGTGAGCCTAGTTATTCAATTCAACCCCCATCTGGACTGGGCTGTTTTGAAAATAAATCCTTTTAAGTAAACGGTGCTCACATCTGTCTGGATTTCCTCAACGTGCATCTTGTTAGCAACATCTGTGAGTGTGGGAGATACTTTGACAAACTATTATGTAGATGATAATTCAAAACTCTGATGTTTGGGGAAAACGACAGTCCCCTGTGTAAAAATACCAGCATGGGTGAGTCATGCTGGAGGCAGTAATTTATTTCAATTCCAAAAGCTTTATTGGCATGACCAATGAGTTTCAATGTTGCCAAAGCATTATACAATTAACACAACTTTTACAATACAGACCTCATAAGACATTTACATACAAACATATGGAGCATTATTGAGAGACCGGCTCACTGTTCCTCAGGCTGTGACAGTAGATCACGTACTGGGCTGCCAATTCAACTGAGCTCCCCCCTCCAGAATCCTGGGATTAGATTTGTTAAATTGGGGAGGAATGTTTGTCTAATCCCAGAATATTTGTCACAGTGCAGTGGGAAAGTGCAGTATCCATTTTTTCATTAATGCCTCTTTTACTTAGAGCTGTGGTTCCACTCTTGGCCCTGGTGACAAATCCACCTTCTGATTTTCATGATCAGCCTGCCTTCATCAGGTCATTGAAACCTTAATTGATCTATGCTGTAGCTTCAGTTGAATATTTGCATTTTGTTTCTAGTCACAAATTGGGGGTTTTAGTTCACTTTCTAATTCTTGTAATGAAGTCAACAAAGAGTTTGATTGTGTAGCCGAGGGCTCGGCTGGAACAAAATCCAACAGGTGTATGGGTCACCAGGACCGGGACTGGGAACCACTGACTTGGAGGATATGTGATGGGGTTTTTTCTTTGGTTTCTGAGGTTCATACAAGGGTTTCATACTTTGGAAAGTCAATTTTCTGAGTCTACTGTGTGTAAACACTTGTGCCGTCATGTGAGTATGAATAACCGGAAAAACAGTTTTCATCAAGGCGCAAAGGAACAAGTAAAGGCTTATTCATGGCTGAAAAGAGAAGAAAGAAAACGCAACGATTCGGCTGTGGAGCCTTCTTTGGTTGACACCCGAAGAAGGCTCCACAGCTGAAACGTTGTTTCCTTTCTTCTCTGTTCAGCAGGGAATAAACCTTTACTTGCTCCTTTGCAGCCTACACATGCTGACACAGCTCCTCTACTTGAGCTGTTCCATCAAGGTGTTCTTTTTCTTTAATGTGCACTTGACACATTCCGATCATACTTGGTCTGATGTCTGATCCTTCTTCATGAGCCGCAGAACAAGCTTTCAGTGCCCGTGTTTTGGTGCAGCAGCTCTGAAACATTCTTGATTTGAAAGGTGTAGGGGGTAAAGTTGTTTGACAATCTCCAATTGAGTCTTATTAGAAGCACCTGGAACTGAAGTGCAAACCCCTGTATTTGGCACCGGAGTTCTCGTGTTTTAGCATTTTTATAGATCAGAGGATAAATAAGATTCCCAACTGTGATGGGAGTGCTGAAGTTGGATTAAATGAATTAAACTGGACTAGTTAAATGCTTTTTAAATATATTTGACCTGCAAAATGCTGATAGATTATGGCTAGAGCACGAAGAGTATTCTCTGTAAATTTGGTTTTGAAAGGAGTTACCAGAGGGAGTTCCACAGATCCATTTGCTGTCATTTTAACATTTTGAAAACATGAGTTTTAGCCTTTTTTTCTTGGGTTTCAAATTCTTGTATTTCAGTGCTCGATTATCTTCTAATCAAGATATTAACCTTATCTGATGGTGAAATCCAGGTGTGGATGGAGGAGAGAAAAAAAGGTATGAAGGCAGTAAAATTGTTTGCTTTTGGATTTACATATCTGTACTCTGGGCTGACAGAACAGTGGAAAAACAAATGGATTGTCTATACCAACTTCAATGAGCTCTTTGTGCACTAGGTTAGATGTAAATAGGACCATATATGGTATTAAACTGTGTAATCTTTTTATGGTGCAATTGCAGTCTAATCTGTGGAAGTTCTAAAGCAATAGGTTTTGTAACAGTCCTCTTAACCACAGTTCTTACTTTTAAAAAATTAAGCATTTCATTAGTCTGGAAAAGTCCTTTTAAATTTATCCAGAAATCTAAAAAAAAAATAGCATCTTGCAAAGACCTGACCCTAACCCCCCCCCCCACTGAAAATAGTGCATTAAAATGCTTTCACCCAAGAGGCAATGTATTAACTATAAGACGTTCTGTTTTCGGCAGTACTGCAGGAACTTTGCCTACTTCATTTTAATCATTTCACACATGCCCAGTCACCTGTGTGTTTAAGTTAAAAATTAGTTCAAAGTCGTCTGTATCTGTCACAGATAGATTAATACTTAACGTGAGGGGGAAAGTGATCGTACCACACGTTTACTCTCCTCATCAGTCTCGGCTTAATGAAAAAGCCGTGCCGTGCTGTCTGCACCCATCTGAGCATGACCGTCCACACACCACAGGAACCCGAGCCCCGGAGGTGGGAAACATGACGTCACCTAAGCGGAAGTAGGTCCCAGCCTACTAAGTGAAACACAATGTGATTTCTTTTTGAAAACTATTATAAAGCCACTTAGAAATGCACTTCAATTCGGAGATTGCAAACCACTTTCAAAATTTACAATTGATCCCATACCTGTTTCTATTTACTATCCGTGTTTGGCACACCATTATAATTATAACTAGAAATTAAATTTCACTAGGTGTGCACCAGATTTCTACCCTTATATCCTCTAATACCCTTTACTTTTTTTCCGCCGCTCTTACCTGGATGTCAGGTGCCCAGTGCGATAGGGGGGGGTTACCATTACTAAGATGGCGGACACAAACTTCATTACCATGAAATGATCTGATGATTTCGACCAATGAGCGTGAGAACTACAACTTGACGAACACATCTCTTCGCAAATCGAGGGCGGAGCGTGCTCCCCTTGCCCGCCGCCTCAGCCAATCGGACCCTCGCGTCGTGCGGGAGGAGGCGGGATTAAACGTTGTTCAGGAAGATGGGGCTAAGTGAGCTGGATGGTTAGGGATTCATTTAAATTATTTAACGTTTTGGGGGGGACTCTTAAAATATATATGATCCTTTTCTGCGCCCAAGAATGGATGCGAGTTAACCATGACGGGGGAGAAAAAGAAGAAAAAGCGACTGAACCGCAGTATTCTGCTGGCTAAGAAAATTATTATAAAAGATGGAGGCAGTGTGAGTTAAATATTTATTTCGTTATGGGTTTAGCTGTAAAACTGCAATTCTGGTCTGTGCTATCTGTTCAAAAGTACACCCTCTGTAACGTCGCGGAGGGCTTACAATTGTTTTCAACCCTGCAGCACTGTTGTGAAGGATCCAAGTCTACATAGAAACGTTTCCTTGCCAATAGACAGCCATTGGTAACGTACTCTTGGCTTCGTAAAATGTATAAAGTGGGTGATGTGGGTCTTTGACGTTTTCAAGTTTGATGGCAAGAGTTTAAAACATCGGTTTGCAAGGAGTGGTGGCCCACATCAAATTGTTGACATGGTACATTTGGGCATTTTGCATGCTGTCATTTGTTCACGACGTGTCCGCTCTGCTACAGTATTTCGTTTATAAAAGGTTGTTTTGCTCATGTTAACATCTGTAGCTCGTTAAAACATAAACCACACGCATTTACTTTCCAGGCTTCTGACGCTCGCTGACATAGGGTCCCGAAACGAGAGTTTTGCAAACTGCACGTTTGCCTTGGCTACCTGTTTCTCTTTTCAAATGTCTTTTTTTTTTTTTAAAAAAAAAAGGAAATACGTAAGGTAAAGGACTTTTACCCCGCTCTTGTTCCATATCAGCAGGGCCCGCCGGCTTATGCACGGAACTACGCTTGGTGAGGTTACGTCACGGACTGACTTGATCATTTCTGTCTTGTATTTTTCGCAACTGTAATTAATAATGATTTTATATGCCAGGAAGACGGCCCGTCTCCCTGGCTTGTATGTGTGTAGGAGGGCGGGGGGCTTGTTTACTTTCAGTAAAGTCCATAGGCGTGTTCTCCAGCGGATTGGGCAGTGTTGTCTCCTGAATTCTTAATTTCGTTTCCCCAGCCAGTTTCAGTTTAAACCCGAGGATGGTCGCTCATCAATTAGGTGTTTTTTTTTTCCTGCAACGACTCAAACAGATCTATGAAGTTGCTTGATACAGTGACATCGCGTTGGTGAAAAATAAACTGTCACTATACGATTTAATTGAGATGGTTGCTTTAAAATCGCATTTCTATGTTGTGATGCTTCGCGTTAGATACGAAGTAGTACTTTTTAACGTCTTATCTTAAAGCATTAAGGGTAAGCTTGTGGGTCAGCTGTAATTTCCCTGTTTTCACTAGACTTTTCTTGCAAAACAAATATCTTGTTCCAAAGAAGAGAACGGGTCAAATAAAATCGCTGAAAAACCAATTCAAAATATTTTTGAGATTCAGGTTTCATCGTAAGTTTGTGCAAGGTCAGAACAAGAAGGAGAAATACATTTATAATCATTTTCCAGACGGAAGAACTGGGGGAATCCAAAGGTTTCTCTTTTTTAAAACCCGAAGCAGAGATGCGTGCTCCTGGCGACCTCTAATTGTATTAGACTCAGATTTAATATATAACGCTAATTCAAGAGAATAACACACATTACAGGAAACGTGAGCTGGTATCCAACAGACAGAACAGCCTGAGTCCTAATAAGGATAGCATCCCATTGATCTTCCTCCTTTTACAGTTCGGGAAATTCGTTGTAGATCATGTTTTATGTCTTTTATTGAATATGCTTCATCCTTTACACCGGTTTGGGCATCTGAACCTGAGGAGTAAAACCAAGCTGGAGAGTGTTGTCGGATTGTGTCAGGAATTCACTGGGGCAGGCTGATATTTTGGCTTTATCCCACATCTACCAATCATGGGTTTTGCATAAAGCGTATTCCATGTAGAGGATCCTTCAATCCCTTTGTTTAGTGAATCCCAATCACTCCCCTCAGAACGCAGATCCAGATTTCCCAATCTAAAAACAAACAGCCTTAAGTTCTCGTTTATCCCTGAGGCCATCACCCTGCTCAAACAGATGATTCCCTGTATGTGTATTGTTTATTTGTTGTGTGTTTTTCTTCATACTGTCTTCTGCTGTGAAAACAAACCGCCCCGGAGATGATAAAGACTCTTCTCTGCTGGTATACCTTCTTACATAAAAGATTCCTTGATTGGCAGCGTTGCAGAAGAAATGCAGTTCTCTGAGCCAACCTGTTTGTGGAAGTACTCTACTGATTTGTGAAACAGGAAGTGCTCATGGGAAGCCCTGTGCAGAATAGGTGGAAGTGAGAGATTGTTCCTGTATTGAAACGCAGAGCTGCACCAAGGCGAAGCACAGAGCTGGAAAGCCAGTTGTTTTTGACCCAGCTCTCGTATAGATAGATGTTCTAGGAGAGGGCAGTCTAATCCGGTACATTTTATAACTTTCTTTTAAAATACCCTCACTTTAAGAGCTCCCCCCAGAATGGTGAAGCGGTAATAGTACTTTGTAATTTTATTGACAGTAGCATCTTTCAGGGGGGGATCCCTGGTTATTCATGCAGGTTATTCCTGCTTTTTTCTGCTAAATAACAAAAGCAATAAATGAACACCACTGAGTGAGGACCCTCTCTGAATAACATTGCCTGACTTCATAGTAACATGTTGCAACGGGCTTCTTAAGCTCTTATAGATGCCCTTCAGTTTGTTTTACCTGAAAGCTTCCCTGTACTTTAATGGGTTAAACCCTAGTGTGCTTCTATCAGTTGAATCATTCTTATTTGTCTGCAGTGTGTTAAGATAGTCTCCTGTTTGTTTATTGAGTTAAGAAAGATAAGGGTTAGGTCTGTTGTGTCCTGTCATAATCTTAATTAGTGCTTTCACTGGTTGCTTCCCACTGAAAATATTCCAGCAGACTATTTGAAATAAGTAAAATAAAAACACTGGATAGACTCTCACTGAAGAGCCTTCATTTGCTTTTGTAGTCTAAGGTTAATCACTGGAATGTTTGCTCATCACAAGCGTATGTATTGACTTTAGGGATGCCAGAGTCCTTTTTTTAATGCAGTCCTCTGACCTGATCTTTGCCAATAAATGGATGGAGAATGGCAGACCAACAGGCATGTAAATGGAAGGACTTAAAAACCAATTACCAGCAGGATGTCTCTGTGCATGGCTTGCAAGGAAGTGGTTATCTGGCTTTGCTCTTTGGAATCAATTTAATTGAGCTGATGTGCGCTTATTCACTTGCCTCCCCATTATCAGCAGTTTAAAGTTTTGCCACTCTGGCACAGCACACTGATGTATCATCTTGGCCTAATTGTTGAATGCACATTGCCATTCATTTCTATTACCTCTGAAGCAAGCCAAGTTTGTCTTGTCACAAAAGTGCATTTTCCGGCCTTGTAAGCCCTTTTATTGTGGCACATGGTAGTTTGACTTTTTTCTTTCAATCCGTCTGGTCAGCTATTTATCTCCCCTTTTGTTTCCATATTTCAAATTCCGTTTTCATCACCAGCCAGACTTACTGTATCTAAGAAATATTTCCTATACTTTTTTTTTAAAACTGAAGTGTTAAAAGAGTTGTTTGCATTCCACGATGCCTCCAATCAAGTAATCGCTGTTTTGAGACAAGATCCTGGAAGAATAATTGAGGCATTTTAAATTGTTCAGCTGATCGGTAGAAATTCTCTGAGCAAAAGCAGGTGTTGGTGATAGATTTGCGAAAAAAGCCATTTTCTCCCAGCAGTTAAGCGCATAGTTCCTGTAACTAACCTGTAATCACGCCACTGTACAAATAAACCGTTCAAATCACACACTGTTCTCGGACAGAGCAGAGTGTACAGTTGCTTAGCTTGTGTGGGGTTTTACAAAACAGCCCTTCTATTGTCATGAAAGAGTCCAGAGAAGAAGCTTGTCCTATTTCCAGCCGCTGTGTAGTGTGAAGAATCAATATCATTGGCATCATTTGTAATTCCGCATTTGGTGGTGGATATTTTTTTTCCACCCTGCTCCAGTGGGATGTTGCTTTTCAAATGGAGCACAGAAGCTGCAGATTCAGTCTTGGGGTGGATAACCCGCAGACAATGTGTCACATTTGTCCCGAAACATTCTGGCTGGAATGCTTTTGATTTGATTTTGATTAGCTGGCACTGTAGCTGCAGTTGCGGACAGTGGCTTGATTTACTCAGTAGACCCACATAGCTGGTTGTCCACGCTTAGCAAAGGTGTTATTGTGAAACATTTCTGCGTCAGTTTTCATCATTATTCCCAGAAATGATCCATGTGCATGGCAAGCCTCACAGATGATTAACAGTGATTCAGAATGTCGTTTTTTTTTCTTGCCGGTGGAGTTTGTACCAAACAATAAAATGTCTTGTGAAAGGTCCTTCATTAAGCCATTGATCTAAAAAATGTCCAACTAACCAAACACAAGACAAGTAAGCAGTTTGAGTGGGAAGGGGAGGGCAACTGGTGTGTTAAGGGAAAAATAAGTAAAATGGAAATCACTCTTGATGTTGAATATTGAAAAATATTTAGAACTATTTTGTTTCAAGAGCTGTCGCTCAACAAACCTTCATATCTGTACCATGGCTGTGTTGTAAATGCATGCCTGAGCAACATCCTAGTGGATGTACCAGGTAGACAACTATTGTCACATTGTGTTTTGTCTTGCCCTTTCCTTTGTAAAGTAATGCTGTTTCTTTTCATTTTTTTACAGCCCCAAGGGATAGGGGAGCCCAGCGTCTACCATGCAGTGGTGGTCATTTTCCTTGAGTTTTTTGCCTGGGGTTTGCTTACTACCCCAATGCTCACTGTAAGTGGTCCTATCTCTCATGCTGATTTTGTGTGTTACTCCTCCATCCAACGCCCACCCTGCTTCAACAAGAACATGACTTGACAGAATGATGCCCTAACATACTTGATTGACATATAAACAGAAATAGGAAGATGACAAGTCCGGTATTCGCGCTCGTAGGGTTTGTGGGTGACAGAGTTTGTTGTATGGCTTTGGCCATCTCAGTGTTGCACCGGTCCTCTTAACCTTAGAGTGCAGTGACACACTTGTTAAAACATAGCTGTGTGTTACCAAAGCGTTAAGCATAAAAGCCTCTGTTTTTAATCTGCCTACTGTCTTTTCTTATTAAAGCCAGTGTAGGAGAGCACTCCTACCTGTTGCTTTCGTTTTCCAGTAGAGTGCAGCTCTAGATGATGTGAATCAGGCTTGATGTTGTTGCTGAGCAAATTCTCGGCTTCAGTCAGCACAGATTGCTTGGAGATTCTAATTAAACACAACTTTGTGCGCTTGGCTTCTCCAAACACTTTAGATGTAAGAATAATCCAGTAGTCTTTTGAATTGCAAAAGAGGCCATTATGTTACACTCCTCTTTATCTTTCCTTGAGGGTGCGCTACAGGCTGCCATAGGTCATATTATACAGGAAGTGCAGTGAAGAATAAAGCAGTACATTTTGTTGTTGCATTATTTATTGATAATTAATGCTTCTGCATGGGCTGAATGTTAATGCAGTTACCATTGCAAGGCTGTCTAGATGCTGAATGTGCCTTGGCTGTTGCTCATTATTTTCTGTGATGAGGGAGAAATGATTGCATGCAGTTCTATCAAAACAATCTTGAGTTATGATCGGCTGCTTGTGTTACTCCCTACTTCATTAGCGGGCAACGCATAAAAGCTTTGATGACTGTACAATTAAAAAAAAGAATAAAGGCAACCTTGCTGGCAATTTGTCAGCGCACAGATTTACAAAACGTTCTCTTGTCCTGAATATCAAGCAGTTGGGCATATACCCTCTCCGACTGGGGCGGGCATTGTTGGCTCTTCCAATACTTGAATTACAGAATCTATTTTTAATTACTTAATTGAAAATCACTTATGTAATTGAGGATCTGAGGGAACAATGGTTTGGATCCAGTTAGAGGTGTTGCTGAAAACGTACATATATTTCGGTATTCAAAAGGGTGAGCCCTGAATCCTTATGGTTAGTGATTCAAATCACTTATCAACCATAGCATTAAGCACCTGCTGCTTTCATTCTGTTAATTTAACATGAAAAAAAATAATTTGATGGATTGTTGTTTTATCTCGGATTTAAATGTAGTTTTTAAAAAAAGTCAAGGCAACCAAAATGTTTCCTTTTTTATAAACTATCCAGGGTTAATTGCAGGCCTTAGTACAATTTTTCAGCTTGCTTCTCTTTCATCTGTTGGTGTGTAGGTTTTGTGTTAATGGTTTATACAGAGTTTAAGCACCCTGTGTTTTTTGATGGGTCTGTTAGTCATCTGAACCTGTAGCCAAAGATCTCTATAACAACATGCTCTGTATTAAGGTTATCTGGTTTTGTACTTGTAGCTTCAGCAGTAACAACAAGAAAGCCAGTATTTGTTCGCTGCATCTAAAATAAATTTAAAATCCTGCAACTGAGGCTCAGAAATATCCACGTCCAAGCAGTGGAGACTGGGGATGATGGTGCGTTCATTGATCTAAGTTTTTTTCCAAGCCACTGTGAGCCTTGTAGCAGTTCTTTTACTACATAAAATGGGCGTTTTCATCTGAGTGTTATTCATACTGCTATGGACAATATTTCACCCTTTTAGACAAGCAATTTCAATGTTTTAAACATCCATAATTGCAGTTTCTTCCCTTCTGAATCAGTCTTAAGGTGAATCTGTTTGTTCACATTCAGCTTTGGGCAGCTTCTTTTGATGCTGAGGCTCCAAATCCCCAACCAGAGGCTGCTGGTGTGCAAGTGAACAATTGTGCTGTAGGTATCTTAAGGCACTGTCGAAAGCCACAGTGTGTTCCCGTGGCTGGTAGCTGTTCTGGAGTGCTGCAGGCTTTCAGTAGTAACCCAGAGAACTCAGGTGGCTGTCTTCCTCATCTTACACTCTGGAACCTTTTGAGCGAGTTGGACCAGAAAGCGTTGAGATCTGTATCGTTCGGTCTCCGAGGAGTCTTCACACCACCGTCACTCTGCAGGCCTTTCTGACCTGATTAGAAAAGGCAGCCTCCTCGGAAGCTCACTCTAATTTTTCAGCCTCATTTTGAATTAATCCGTGCTGGCTAAAAATAACCCGGGGCTCCAAGTGCCCATCTCCGAAACAGGTTTCATTTCCTCACTGCAGTCGTGCGTCTTTTCTGTATTGTTTTTGTGAATTGCTCGATCCCAGGTTAATAGCGCTCCTTGTCAGAGGTTCATTGTGTGTGAACTGTTCCATAACACTTGCGCATTCACTCAGCCCTAAAACAATGATTCTTTCAGAGCAGATCTGTGTTTTGTTCTCCTCAGAGCAGTTGCAAACAACAGGCACATGAATCACTTACCCTTGGGAAAAAAAACCCAGCTGAAACACAAAGTTTGTATTCCAGAGTCAATGCACTTCTAAAGTAAATTAGACTGTTTACCTAGTTCATGGCAACCAACACTAATAACTCACATTTTTATTTGTCAGTGAGCTGCTACACTGCAGTGGGTTCTGAAAGCTAACTGCTGTTTGCTTGTGTCAATTTGCACAGGTTTTACATCAGACCTTCCCACAGCACACCTTCCTGATGAACGGCCTTATTCATGGTGTCAAGGTGAGATAAGACTATTCCGATAAGGCACACAGAAACTGTTTGCATGATCAGCAGTGCAATGTGCATTTGAGAATAAAATCATCAGGCATGCCTTTTAGTGACATTGCTAGTGGTAGGCTCTGTCAGGTATTTGTCAATAGGTTTGTATTTGGCTTTGACAACCATGTTTTGTTAGGTCTGTGAAAGAAGTCAAAACCCTTTGATTTATTTATAAATCCAATAATGACCTCATGATTTTGAAATTCCTCACACATTTTTACCTTTTGAACAGCAGTTAAAGGGTTTTATATTTTATATCATTAAAGTGAAGCATTGGTTTGAGGTGCGTTTTTCTGTGAAACGTCTAATACCTGTGCAAATGCTAAAGTGTGGCACGCATCGGTCACAAGGGAATAGTCTACCACCTTGCTTTTTCCTGTTACGTTTGCACATTAATGTGTAAAGTGTCTTAAATTAATAAGCCGCTGGGGCAGTTGGTTAAAGAATAAGATAGCGTTTGGTGTGGGTTTGCAAAGTTCATTGTTTGGGCTGCACAGTGAAAGGGAAGAACTTTTTCCAGTTGGGACGTTTGAATGTCAACCTGGTGAGTTGCGATTCCAGTTCTGACACCATTATTGACAGAATTCGCTCCTTTTAAATCCCCGATTATTTGGGGGTGGCTGGTGGAACAGGACACACTTTGCTAGGCCCCATTGACCCCCCCAGTTGCCTGTGCTGTCTTCCAGGGCCTCCTGTCCTTCTTGAGCGCCCCTCTGATAGGCGCCCTGTCAGACGTCTGGGGCCGGAAGTCTTTCCTGCTGCTGACGGTCTTCTTCACCTGCGCCCCCATCCCCCTGATGAGGATCAGCCCCTGGTGAGGCTCCTGCTTCCCCCCAACCCCCCCCCCGGTTGCTGCGTTTCAGAAGCCTGTGGATCTGTCAGCTTGCGTCATTTAGGAAACAAGACTAATGAGCTTTAGATGATTCGGAGTCGGAGAGGAATGCAAACCAGCATGCAGTTACGTTAAATCTGGAAGAAGTATTACAACAAAACAAACTGCTGGTTTCTTAGTTTCACCTTAGTTAACATTTTGTTACTAGTCTTTTCAGGTCTGACTTTCCCATAAACTTCTTGTCAAGCAGTACCCATTGTGCAAATGTCGTTTGGATACACGGTTTAGATACTGGTTGATCACATCACACATTCAAAGAGGGTAAATGGTCCCGGTTTGTTTTTATTTTCATCTGTCTTCAATAAGAAGCACTATGTCTCAGTTTTAACTTGCCCCAGGAGATACTCCCATGTCTGGGAGTTGAGATGGCCGTATGCACTCATTACCGTTTTACGTTTGCTCGGATACACATGCCTCCCGTAAGCTCCTCCCTGTCTTCCCCGCTGCAGGTGGTATTTCGCAGTCATCTCCATGTCTGGCGTTTTTGCCGTCACCTTCTCCGTGATTTTCGCCTACGTCGCAGACATCACTCAGGAGCACGAGAGAAGCACCGCTTACGGCCTGGTGAGCAATGCTGGGGGATTTCTCGGATTACAGCTGCACTGCTGCAAAAAAACAGCCACGGCCCACAGCACAATCTGTACGTCGCCGCCCTGTGGAATGACGCAATGTGGACAAGGCGACCCATGCAAACTGAGTACTGATAAAAGGAGACTTGAATTTAATCTTTTTATGCATCTCTACATAGATATAGATGCTTATAGGAAGACGCATGGTTGAGTCTAATAAATTGAATCTAGGATATTTCAGGTAACCGTCTACAGCAAGAAGTGCCGTATTTTGTGGTTTAGAAAACAGTTAATGCATGCCACTGACCTCACTCAGCTCTGTTCCAATTCTGTTCTCTAAAGGAGGAGTCAGACAGGGGGAGAATCAGAGGCCTGAGTCAGGGAGGCTAGTGTGGTTATTATTAGGAACCAGGCATGAAGTGCGCTGTGCGTAACGTCTGAGATGTGTTTTCGAAGAGAGCCTGGGTGAGGCGATGAGGGCTGAGGTGTCCCGCGGGCGCTGAGTGACTCTTGTTTTAATTTTGCGGGCTGCGGTCAGGTGTCCGCCACCTTCGCCGCCAGCCTGGTGACGAGCCCGGCGATCGGGGCCTACCTGTCGCAGGCCTACGGGGACACGCTGGTGGTCATCCTGGCCACAGCCATCGCCCTGCTGGACATCTGCTTCATCCTGGTGGCGGTGCCGGAGTCGCTGCCGGAGAAGATGCGCCCCGCCTCCTGGGGTGCCCCCATCTCCTGGGAGCAGGCAGACCCCTTTGCTGTGAGTGTCAATGGTCCTGATTTTCTTCGGTCCTTGAGCTTGTAGTAACATCTGAGCTTTGCAACCTGTGATTGGACTGCAGGACTTTGGCAGTGATTTACAGAGTGCTGTCAATTCATTTTCCTGCATTTTAATAGACTGAGACACTTTAGGCTCTCAAACAGACTGAAGAGAAAAGTATAAAATCTCATCAATTTCTGCTGTTTTTGCTATTTGGCTTGTATAATCTTTAACGATCCAAAACAGAAAGAGTGTGCCGTTTAGGTGGCAATTGTGCAGACCGTATAGCATTTTGAGCAAATGCTTAAGGTTTAGCACAATGGAAATGTTTGGAACGGTAATTTTACTGTATGTAAGAGGCACTACAGTGAGAATGAAACAAATCTTGTTTATAGCTATATTGAACAAGTGCTTCACACTTGTTTTAATAATTGATGTTAGGCCTTGTTTACTCTCCCCTCAATACTATTTATCATGCTACAAAATTTGAAGCCCCTCCTTTTAAGCCAGTTAGATCAGCAGTGTAATTTTGCCTGTTTGCGCTGTAAAGCAAATTGTTTTCCAAAAACAGTTTAGTATATTGTACACCTTTAGCATCTGTTCCAATGACTCTACAATTGCAATTCAAAAATGACATTAAAAACTGCCAGTAAGACCTAAGAAAATGAAAGAACCCTGGTTTTCTGTAGAAAACCTACCTAGTTTAGTTGTAAGCGGTCCAGAACATAAAGATGTGACATCAAATGAGAGAAGGTTCATCTGGCCCTTTATTTGTAGTTAGTAGCTAACAGACCCAAGAATCTCATCCAGTGCTTTCTTTTTCCCCTACATTTTTTTTCTCTACAGTCTCTTCGCAAGGTTGGTCAGGACTCGACAGTCCTTCTCATCTGCATCACTGTTTTTCTCTCCTACCTCCCAGAGGCAGGGCAATATTCCAGCTTCTTCCTATACCTGAGACAGGTAACGTTCATGTTTCCCAGGCTGCATTTTACCTGTGCATCTTCCTTCCTCGTGGACGCTTGCAGAGGTCAAAGCATTTTGTTTGGCCTAGTCTAGTAAAACGAGAGTTTAGATACTAATGCTCAGATTATCCTCTGGGCCACAAGTGAGTTATTCCGGGGCTCTATGGCAGGAATTAAAAAAAATGAGTGCAAAGCTTTTTTTAGAGGTATGTTTAAGGACTCATCATCAACTGGATTGTGTAATTAAAGCCAGAATCGTTCTTCATTATAATCCTGTGCATGTCTAGGTAGTAATCAACAGCACAGGGTATATCAAAGTCTTTTTCTTTGTAATAAGTCAATTCTTAGGTATGTGAGGTTCTGGCATGTCTTTGGAATAGCTAGTCCAGCACTGTCAGCCCTTCCAGATGACAAAGCAGCGATCACAGTAGGCCAGCTGTAATTGAGGTTTTCATTGTGGCTTCGCAGTGTTGCCCTTGAGGCAGGATTAGATATTGGGCATCGGTTTTGTTAACTGCAGTGAACAGACTGCACAAGAAAACCAGGTGTCGCCCAGGGCATGTTAATAACCACTTTGCAATAATGGCTATCTGCAGATTTTAATTTCATTCCGGTGCATTCAGAAAGCTTCACATATTCCATTATAGCCCCGCCAAGGAGTGGAAGACTTGCATCTTCATGTTACATTAAGAGCACTCTCCTCAAGATCGTAGTGACAACATTTAGTGAAGCCTACACTTCTTTCAGTTATACAAAGCTGCCACGCTACCGAGCTGCCGTTGTCTCTGTCTCGTCTAGCTAAAATCTCATTAACAGAACAAAAACGAATGGCAGCAGACATGCATGGTGTAGGAGACCGTAAATTTCTTCAAGATATATTTTAATGTTAAACTGAAAGTGCTGTCTTTCTCATTCCAATCTTTCACATTGTCCTGTTCAAGTAATAGGCCAAGAAATGCTCAATTGTTTGCAAATATCTTTTTTTCTGGTAGCCATATATGATTATTTTTTTAATTTTTAAAAAGGACTGTTTTGACTTTGGTTCTGTGCTGATATGGTTTTGTAGTGCAGGGCTTCTTCAGAAACACATTGGTTGATCTGTGACCTTTCACTTCCAGGTTATCGGCTTCACGTCTGAGACTGTGGCAGCGTTCATAGCTGTGGTTGGGATTCTCTCCATTTTAGCCCAGGTATTTGACCCTCAGATGTGACTGTTTCATGGGTCTCAAAGTCCATCCTGGTTTTCAAGAGCTTAGATTGTAAATACAATTTCATTGGAGCTGATGAGGAGTGGAAATATTCTAAAACCTCTGTTTTAAAATGTTTTGTTTTCTAATATATAAAAGGAGAGCCACAGTATATGGGCACTGGCTATGTCACACTCAAATAGTGTCAATTCCTTCCTAACAAAAAGTGGAAAAAAGTGTTTTTTCTAATGCAGATTAAAGTGCATTTTCACATAAGCTATGCAGTATTGTCTCATAATTACTCAAAAACGTGACTTTTCCTTTTCTTGCTGGCAACAATGCGCTTCCATAGTTACCAGAGCTAAATAAAATGAATTTTATGATTAGTGCATTTCTGGCTTTATAGGCACTAAAATATGGAGCCAGTACACTATAGGTTTACCTTAGAAGCTGTGACATGTGTTTACCCACTGCTTTTTTTTCCCCCCAAGACGGTAGTTTTGGGAATCCTGATGAGATCCATAGGAAACAAGAACACCATCCTGCTCGGACTGGGGTTCCAGATCCTCCAGTTAGCCTGGTATGGGTTTGGATCACAGCCTTGGTAAGTGTCGTATCTCCAGATGTTCAACCTCTGTGTCAAAAACGTCACTTCAGGATCCTGGTGAAGCTTGCTCCGAGCTCTGACACAGGGTTTCACGAATGTTCTGTTACATTAGGTGTTTTAATCGTCACGTGTGGCAAAAAAAAAAGTGAAACTGCTTATTGCTATCCCAAAGTCTTCTGAGCCTAATGGCCAGACTCTCATTGTAGATATTTCACTTACAAAATCCAGAAAGAATGAATTCTGTTTAAATAGAAGGCTCTGCAAGTAATATTCAGAAATGCAACGTTAAAAGCAATAGCTCACTGGACTGTAGAGGGGAGACCGTGATGCCGTGATGAGCAAGGGTTTGTGTTTCTGTCTCGGCGCAGGATGATGTGGGCAGCTGGGGCAGTAGCAGCCATGTCCAGCATTACTTTCCCTGCCATCAGCGCCATCGTTTCCCGGAACGCTGACCCGGACCAGCAGGGTAAGAGCCAGTCTCGGCCACGCGGCACTGCGCGACCTCCTGGGATCCCAGACGTGGCAAAATTCCAGTATTATCCGTCTAATAAGGATTGCGATCTTGAGATCTCTGACACAATCGCGTCTTTGCAGCCTCACGTATTTGAACAGACTCGGGATAAGCCCAGGTGCTGTTGCTGGAGGACGTAAAGGATTTGCAAAAGAAAATCGTCCCTGTACTCATTATTACAGAGCACCTGCGATATGAAAGCAACACATTGATCTCCTAAAGTGCATGTTCAGATGAAAAACCAGACACAAAAGTTTTAGGTTTTTCTTAAACTTCGTACTGGAAGAAAAATAAGAAATTTTAAGTTTGAATTTTTAGACATTTAATGCCTTTGACACGGATACTAATTGAATCAGAAAAATCACTTTGAAATGAGTATCCTGTAGTACTTATTTGAAGCACATTTAAAAGAGGTATGGTTCTCTTGATCTTAACATATTACATAGTTGGGGGGAGGGAGGGATGCAGGAGATAAAGAGCTAAATGAAAATAGTTTCGTACAAGCCTATGACTTTTCACAGAGAGAACGAAGGGGTGTCTTGAGACCCAGAGCAACAGCAAAGACAGGCCTTCCTGGGTGTTACAACTGTGGCCAGAGGAGATCAGAGGTCAGGTCAGAGAAGCTGGAAGATGACCACAAATGGGCCTCATTCCCTTACCCAGCTTACAGCTTTAGCAAGAATTCAGATAAACAAGAAATGTCTGTAGGCTGCAGAAATCGTGTACTCAGTAGCTGTCTTGCTGCAGTAGCTCCAGCTTATTGTAAAACGTTCGGCTTTGGAGGCAGTTTGCTGGGCAGTAATCTCTTCAATTGAAGTGAGTGAAAGACAGATAAGATGCCTGTAAAACAGCGACAGTGAATAAAGGAAGGAGTTATCTTCCCTGCAGCAGAGGGGCAAGGCTTCCTGTAGTCAATCTGATATGTGGCCCAGTTCTGAGGATTTCTTGCAGTGGAGTGCATGCCTCCTGAGAGTTTTCTGCTGATGTGGAGTATTCAGCCCATCTGTCTGTGCTTCTGTCCGCATGCAGGTGTGGTCCAGGGCATGATCACTGGCATCAGAGGGCTGTGTAACGGGCTGGGTCCCGCGCTCTATGGGTTCGTCTTCTACCTGTTCCATGTCGAACTTAATGAAATGGACGCTGTGGAGAGTCCGGGCAAAGATGCCAAACCCAACATGGCCAATCCCACGGATGAGGTAAGGACCGCTTTCCGACCGCGCAGGAGGGAGCACGCGTTCAGTCCGAGGGAAGCTTGGTGTTGTCACCACGTTCGGAGTCCAGTGACTTAGGTTTCTGAGCTATTGCACGACTATAAAGACGGGGCCTAATGCTAATCTAAAATCGCAAGAGCTAGAATGGGGTCGCAAGATCAGCACGATCTGTAGTTCTGAAAGGCAGGAGTGCACAGGGTTCAGTTAAACTCGGGTTAGACCGCAGTCTGGTTACAAGTGCGTTTTAGATTGTCACCTTTCTCAGCAGCCAGACTGACACAGCTTCTCAGAGACACAAGATCTGCCAGGGCGGGAACTTCTCAGCTCCTCATTCACAACTGGCTTTGCCTTCATGTTTCTTTTCCTCCACCCCCCCCACCCCCCCCGGACCCCTCTCTACCAGAGCGCCATCATCCCGGGCCCGCCCTTCCTCTTCGGAGCGTGCTCCGTCCTGTTGTCCCTGCTGGTGGCCTTGTTCATCCCGGAGCACAGCGGCCTGAACCTGCGAGCTGGCAGCTACAAGAAGCACAGCAACGGCGCCCAGAGCCACTCGCACAGCCCCCAGGCCGGGGGCACAGAGGGCAAGGAGCCTCTCCTGGAGGACAGCAGCGTATAGCCCCGGAGGGACTGCGCTGCCCTCGCCCCGAGCTCCCGAAAGCCTGGCTTTCACAGCTCGGAGGAGGCTGCCAGACACCCTTTTTAAAGCTGGAGACGGAAGGCCGCTCTGAGGACTGGTCGGATCCGGGAAGCTGCTGGATGCAGCCCGCCGCTAGGGGGGCACCGGAGGAAGCTGGCAGAGAGTCCGTGCCCAAGGGGAACGCTGCCCTGCGCTGAAGACGCAGTGTGAGGGGGTGAGGTCTGTGGCCGTGCCCCGCGGGACACGAGGGCCGATCGAGGAGCGTCTTTTATTTTGGCTGGATCATACTTTTAATGAGCTTGTAGATATTTTTTTTTGTTGTTGTCCTTGTTGTTTTTAGAGCTTCATTTCTCCCAAACAGCCAAAACGTTCCCCTATCCAAAGAATCCTAGGGAAGTAACTGACCTTGCACAGTCTAACCTCATCCGTAGCTGAGGCTGGGTGGAAACCAACTTGAGACGCTGCTTTGGTGTTTCATTTAAGACTGGATTGTCCCCAGATGCCACTGCTTATTTTTTAGATTTTAAGGAGGAAATATGTCAGGCTCAACCACTTCACTTAGATGCGTAGGCGCAAATGGAACTTCACCACTGTAATGACGATCAGTCCAAGAGATGACCTCATATTCCTATTGATGAAGAGAGGATTCTAATGCACTTTTTCTTCATGTAGACATCGGTTAATATCATGAGTCATTTAAGTATTCCGACCGTATGTGATTTTAAAAACGAGCTATATAGTTAAGGGTTTTTTAAGGGGGAAAAAAAACTCATTGCCACTTTAATGCAGATCCTGTACGCTGGACCAGCTATGAATTTTGCAAAGCAAGCCCTTGCCTATATCCCCAGGTCCTGCTTTTTTTTCCAAATTCTTCCTCTAGGGGGGGTAGTTGTGCTATAATTGTCATAGGGAAAAAATGCCTTTAAAATACTAATATTACATTACCTGAATGAAGAATATGCATTCTGAAATGGGTTAGTAATTTCTAATATTGCTCCCATAGGAGCACATATACATTTCTAGATCCATGATGTTTTGTCCTTCTACATTTGACACCTCTTACAAACTTTGTACAGGTCGACGCTGCTTTAAACCCAAGTCGACCACATTTTCGTAGTCTGAGCTGCTGAAAATCTTCGCTCTTAAATGTGGTACAAGTACGTGAGCACAGGCTTTATTTTAAAAATATATTGTTCGTTAGCATTCTGACTTAAGTAGAGACACTGCGTGTTTGGTATGTATTTACTGATGCATTAGAGCGACATTAAGCGACGCAGATGTTACATTTTTAATGTGATATATAAATGTTGTAATTGGTATATGATTTAAATTATTAACAGTTTAAAAGTATTTAAAGATTACTATTTTTCCCCAGAAAAGGGTGCTCTGTTTTTCAGGAATATGTCTCGTCTTGGATTTAAAAAAAAAAAGATCTAATATACTGTGCACAACAAGTGGAGTGATTTACATCAGAAAAATAGTTTTTTTTGTCTTAGAATTCTATAATATTATTCACAAGTGCATTGGAGCAAACAAATCACAAAACGTAAGCTAGGGAAGAGATAATAGTAAATTAAAATAAAGCTATCAGACCTTTTTTTTTTCCATGTTGCATTGTATGAAGAGTTTTAAGTGTGTGCCATATTTGTTTCACTCATCTGGTTGCGAAAAGCTCCCGTTTCTGTGTCGGTTTTGAAGTTTTCATCTTTCTCCTTAGGGCTGCATTGACCTAGAATGTATTGTTCAGTACAGCCGTTTTTGGACTTTGAGGACCGTGATCATTGCTAATTATCAGAATCCGTTTGTGAGCTACTGTTTTTTGGGCTATGGTAGTGGTGTGGCTAGTCTGAGGGGCACCGTTTCTCCAGCAGCTTCTCTGTATAGAGCTCAAGTACAGTCTTTACACAGCTGTTAATGTACGACCAACACCAGCTGATTCTGCGCAGTTTACTAGTCCTGATTCTATTAACCGAACCAGTCCTAGCGCCACTTTGCCTGTTTGTTTGAGGTGAGAACCTGGCGGCAATATCTCCTTTCGAGCTCTAGTTCTGCTCTCTGCTCCCCGCAGGATGGATCTCAAGGAATACAAATGGGATTGAATCCCTGGTTGAGTTGTAGTGTGGCTCCTTGATTACTGAGATAATCTGAGGCAGGATTTTAAAACTACCTTTAAACGGTTACCAAATGTTTAAACATTACGCTTTGTCTTTATGACCTCACAGAAAAGCAATGAAAATGAATACTCATGGTTATTATGTTTGCAGATACTCATGAAATAGTGACAGGTTTCTGTTTAGATATCATCTACAAGACTTCATTCGCAAGCTGCTCTCCTAAACAAACAGAAGACTGACCAGCTGTTGATCCAGTCTGCTCTGTCAGGAATAACAAAGCTGCTTCTTATGACTGCTTTACTGCATGGCTGTTAAGCACAAATACTCAACTCCACAAAAGTGTAAGGTTTAATATATGCGATTTGCTTTCAGTCTTAGGGTGATTTTTAGGATCTCAGCCTATCTCGGTAGCCCAGTGACCATAGAGTGAGGAGCGCTTCCATATTTCAGGACTTATTTCACTGCTGTTCGCCATCCAGCCTGTTGTGGGCATCTGAGCAGCTGGCTCTTCCTGTATCTTGATGGGTGGATGAACTGACTGCACAATCCTTTCACCCTTTCAATTGGAATATAGGTGGCATATTGTGGATCCCTCATGAAATTAATTCACACACGGTGTTGGGTATTTTATTTAAAAAAGTCCTCTGGAGTTTCATCTAAAGTGCTGCACTTCTGATAACCAGTAGGATAAGGTTATACTGTTGGGATCGTTAAGTCGTTCTTATTCAAAGTCCCTCAAAAGCTTTGGTTTTGATTTTTGCTATCATTTTGGATTATTAGTTTTTCCAAATTTTAGATTATAGGGCAAGCAACCCCCGTCTCTCCTAGTTTCCGTGCCCCTAAACCTAGTTGTAATCTTAGTTGAACTACTAAAACGCAGAGACATTGTTGTTTCTAAGCTCTATTTAAAGTGGGATACGGCTTAGAATTGTTATAGTTAACTGAAAGATATCAAGGGCCCTTTTAAGTCATTCAGAGACTTCAGTTCCCCTAGGAAGCAGTGGAGATTTAGGGACCTAAGGGCTTAGGTGATGGAGCACTGAAAATAATTTCTGAGTATTTGATTCACAGCTCTCATCTAGCCCGATGAGTAACAGCGGACCCCCAGAGCAGTGGGTCATGTCAATAATCAGTCTCCAGTCTCCATGGCAGAGCACAGCTGTCCAGTGCAGGATGAGCTCAGCTAAGGCTCCTGTGTGGACCCGCGGAGCCTGCACGGGGCGTAACTGCTCAGATAAGCAGTTTCCTCATTCCAAAGTGGCAGAGTGAGTTACAGTATAAACTGATTATTGAAGTTTCCAAATTTCAAAGAAGGGAAAACTTTAAGCAGGTTATAACCGGGTCTTCAGTTACGCTCTATTGCAATAATAACTAGAAGGCACAGGACCCATAAAGATCAGGAGGGGGCACGAGACTAAAGGAGGTTTTGTTTTCGGGCTGATAGGCGGGGATAGAGAGTGTATCATGAGAGAGAAGACACTGAGGTGTGCACACTTAAGATGAACAGACCATGGGGCTAGGTGTGCCACCGCCTGGACCGACTCCTCACACTGACCACCCCTGGTGGAATCCACTCCATGGCCCGAGAAAAGACAGAGCCTCTTAATGTGCCTAAAACATATGCGAATACATGTGTACAAATTGTAGATATGAAAAACTAATGTCAAAATTATTTATTAAAGGTGTATTGTACATGATCGATGATTGTTTGTTTTTTTCCCCCAAAAATACATTAGTAGAATAATCCATTTATACAGTCTAAGATTCTTTTACGTTTTTATTCACGAGCAACAACAGGGATGGATAACATTCATCTTGTTAAGCTGTAATACAACATCACACGGTCTGTGGTTGAATAGTTTTGGAAATGCTTTTGCTTCTTTGGTATTTAATTGAATTCGCTGGCCCTCATTACTGTCCTCAGCAGGTGAGGGATTAAAGACGCCTCTACAACCTGCGTTGTCCGGAGATGTCCTGATTGTCTTGAGCAGTAAAGGCCCCTGACTTCACTGTTCTGAGTCTAGCTCTTCGCTCTCCCCCACCCCCCCCAGATCCCCCCCCCATTCCCACAAATCTTCAGGAGATTGTTACGGGAGCTGTATCTAAATCTCGTTTCCAAACATCTCGTGACAGTAAGTTGGGTAGACATAAAAGAGAAAGCAATCGGCAATTCCAGATTCTAAATCAGCCCCCCCCCCCCCTCAACCCCCGAGTCTGATCTATTGGTAATTTACACGCAAACATTAAGTGGTTATATCCTTTTATCCCTACCTTTACTGTAAAACCTCAGGTCAGCATCTCGAACTGAAGAAAAAGTCCTATCTCTTGTCTATTTACAGTTAACATTTCCTGTGCATGGTGCAAAAGGGAAACACAGAGTTGTCTTAAAATTTAAGACAATTAACTAAAAAAAATCCCCTGGCAGTGTGATCCTACACTTTCCCCAGAATATGATCCTTTGTCCACACAGTTAGTTGGGGGGAACTCCAACTATAAATTTCTGTTCCTTGACCAGTGCAAGACAAATTTATTTTAAGGTTCTGAGGGGGCATACTGGGTGGAGCAACATTTTCCTTCTGGCCTCAGATAAGCAATAAATTGTCACTATTTCTTATGGCTTAGACTGTACTGTACAAGATAAATGCAAGGGCTGCTAGGAAAACTGGCCCCGATGCACTGGCACACTGGCGTCCTGGTGTCCTGGCCAGTGTGCACCCTGCTTGCGGCCAGTGCTTGCTGGAATAGGCTCCAGCTCCCCCACCACTCTGTACTGGATAAAGTAGTTGGACAATGGATGAATGGGTTTACGTGACCTGTAGCTGGACTCCCAGTTGTACGGAAGAAACCAATTTCCATAGTAGTTCCGGACAAGTGGGATTTTCCACTGGCTGGAAAATGGCAGATGTGTCCTTGGGACCAGTGTCCCATGCTGCTCGGGAACTGGAAGGGGTTTGAAGTCTTACTGGAGGAGTGACCCCGTACTGTTCCGAACAACAGCTGCTCCCAGAAGGCCGGACTTCCACACTTGGCACATGGACCGAACGGGAAGGGTGGACAGAGTTGGAAAGTCCATCATCCACGTACTGTACACCGCTCCCCCTACTCGGCCCGTTTTGGCACTTTGCAAATCCTTCCAGTTGAGTCACTGACACCAATTACTCACTCTTTGGACACAGCCTCCACCTTCCCTCTCTCCTTGCGCCAGGGAGCTGCTCTCGCCCCGAGCCCGAGCCCGCCAGCATCAGCTCCGTCTAAATAATCCATCACTCGGGTGAGGCCAACACATGCACAGCCAAGCTGAGGGACTCTCCAGAGCACTTTGTTAGAAGGGCTGCAAATTCATTAATTCCTTACCTCCTTTACAGCTTAACAGGTAATGGGGATCCCCTCCACCACCTCCAGTTTGCAGCCCCACCTGGATGATGTGACGACAGCCATAGTGCACCAGTGCACTCACCACATGTCACCTATCAGTGGGGAGGAGAGCAGAGTGATGAAGCCAGTTCAGAGATGGGATTATTAGGAGGCCATGATTGGTAAAGGCTTGGGGGGAAATTTGGCCAGGACAGCGGGGTAACACCCTGCAGAAAGTTAGGACTTCGTTGTAGGTCCCATCCAAAGGACAGCACCTTTTTTTTACAGTATAGTGTCCCTATCACTATCCTGGGGCATTAGGACCCATACAGACCACACTAACCTCTTCCAACAGCAACCTTAGCTTTTCCCAGGAGGTTTCCCATCCAGGTACTGGCCAGGCTCACACCTGCTGAGCTTCAGTGGGCTGCAGGATGCAATGCAAATGTGTGGATAAACCCCTTAGAACTGGTAATACAGGAAGATAAATAAATACAGTGTCAGTGTCCTGGCCGTAAGTGAGTCAGCATGGAATAAACCTTTACTGGTTCCTTTGCTGCCGCAGCTACCCACTTGAACTTTTTAAGTCCTAAATATACCAGATACAGACAACCGAAGATCTGACTTAAAGCAGTAGAAATATACATCCAAACTCCACACAGATAGCACCCCAGGTCTGGAACTAAACCCAGAGCCCCTGTGCTGCCCTTCCTGTATCTTAACTCTGTGTCATTTTCCCCGTCCTGCCCTCGCCTTAGCTCAGTGTTCTGTATCTGATGTGTGCTCTCCCCTCATTCCATCTCCTAACACACAAGCTCCGATCCTTCCTGCTCCTGCAGCACAATGTTTATGACTTCCTTTCACACTTCACAGATGCATCTTTCCTGAAAAGTAGTCTACCCAGTGTTCTAAATTATTCCATACAACAATATTCTTCTTATTATTATTAAACTGTATGTTCTAATGTTTTTTCCCATCTTTTATAGTTTATGCTTTTACTACTTGTAAGTAACCCTCTGAAGGTCCACATTAAACGCTATTTGCCTCGTGTTTGCCCAGTCTTTAAAATTGTATCTTAAGTCTTTAAAAAACTCCTACTCTGCCATTAAACTTTTTCTTAATGCTCCTATTTTAGTATCATCGACAAAGATAAATGATAGAATAAACTCTAATCTGGTAGTAGCCGGGCGTTGACCTCCCTGTCCTATTGTTCCTAGCTTGTTCTAATACATCATGCCTGGAAACAAATAATAAATCACATTTTAATCACTTCCCCACATTGTCTAGAAGATGTAAATTATGCATCAGCATAAAAGGCCTCTATTTTTCATACTTTGGCTTTTCTATCTCAGTGTTTCCCATTTTGTACCTGGAGTTTGGAATTTTACCCCTTGCCTGCAAAATCTTGAACTTGGGTCTGCAGTACACATCATCTGTGTATCTAAATCTTTTTTTTAATTTATTTGCTGCTTCTAAAGTTTCTTCAACCTCCTAATTTGGTATGATCTGCAAACCTTATTGGTTTACTAACTACACCAGATTTAGATAACTGCTTGGAATAAAAAGCACTGGTCCTAGTACAGATCCCTGTGGCCTTCCACTATTATGTCACCTGGAAAAGGGCTTCGTCACCTCTGGGCGATCCTGAGGGACCATCTGTTGGAAATGTTTGTAGGTGATGCAGTAGCCTCTGCTGTTGTAAAAAGCACTTGTCTTGAAAGGCTTCTGAGTGGTTAAGACAGCAGTGGGGAGGAAAGCAGTACGTCTGAGGCAGTCAAACGGTATGAGCTGAATGCTGGGATTGAAAGAAAATGGTTCCATTTGAATGGTCATCCTATACAATGGCGAAGGGGGATGAAAAGGTTTGGGGGCAGAAGGGAAGGACAAAAGGGATTGTACCTCTGAAATTCCTTATGTGACTGATCCAAGGGGTTATTTTTGGTTTCGGTGCGGACATTTTGAGCGTTATTTTGTCAGTGAAATAAAAACCTTCGTCTGAGGTCTGCGTTTCAGCGCGTCTCATTGCTACCCAAGCAACAAGGTCTGAGGAACTGCAAGAACGTGGGAGAGGTTCCAGTATATCTGGGATGAAGGGAGCTGTGTATCAGGGGCTGAATAAAACAAACAGATGCATTCCCCACCTCGCAAACTGCAGTCATCTGATTCTGGTCTCCTGTTTGTCACCCAAGCCTGTGTGCCTTCTAATGGGTCTTCTCTTGCTATGTCCCTAAGCTCTGGACTTCTATCCCGAGCGATATCAGACAGTCAACTTCCCCAAGTGCTTTCAAATCCAGCCTCAAAACCTTCTTCTTTAGAAAAATTTTTTTAATTGGTATCTGCCTCTGCACCTTGAGTTTTCTAATGCATTTCTAACCTCTTCTGCTTCTTTGTGCTAATTTTACATCCTATCTAACCGTTTTGTTTTGTTTTAACTATTTTCACTTTTCCTGTAAAGCTCTCCCAGAAGTTCCCTGTAAGGGGGCTATATAATGTAAAATTCCTTAGAATTTTTGTTGAAGTTGTTGTTTATTATTTCAGGAAAGGCAGAGTGGTGGAAGATGCGTCAGTGGTGGAAAGTGAAAGCTGAATAAAAGGCAAAAATTTAAGGACATGTGAAAGGAGGGGAGAGAGAAAGAAGAGAAAACCATAGGTTTTCACTGGACACCATGAATTGGGAGTTCAGTGTTTTGTGACCCCTGGACACAGATGAAAGCTATGTTGAGAAACATTCAACAGCCTTCTTCCCACAAAGGCTCTGGAACAAACTCCCTAACAACACTGTGGAAACTAAATCTACCTGAGACGCTTCATTAAATGTCCTGACGCTATTTTATTCACATTGAGTAACGTTGAAGAGCCTGCTGTCACTTGTAACCCTTATTCTGTGTTATCTTCCTTGCAGACATCCATAGTAGCAAAGTCTTTATGCCCTCCTGCAGTCTCAGCACTATTTAAAGGTCATGTCCTCTCAAAGGTTTATGCTTGTAGTGGGGGGTCTACAGTAAAGTCCCGCTATGTTTCCAGAAGCCAGATGAGTGTGTCTGGGTCTACAGGAAGGGGTGGAGTTAAGGGGGGGTATGAAGTAAAGCTAAGAGGCAGGGGAAGGCAGGGTGCCAGTATGGTATCCAGTGTCCAGTTCTCATAAGGCAGGTCACCTGCAGGGGTGGATACAGTCAGAGGGTGAAACGAAGCCTTCAGATCACCTCCGGAGTTTTTGCTCCAGTCTCTGCGCGCTAATGGAAACCACGATGAGGCACTGGCAAGCCATCTCCTTCGCGTGCTTGTTCCTGAAGCTGGCTACTCAGGGTAAGGACACGGGTTCCTCACAACTCCACTGTCTGCTG